TTGGGGACCACAGTACCAGCAGTGGCTAATTTTTTTTGCCCGGGTTGGTTGATAAGTCATTTCATAGGGTTTTTAAATGTTTTTAACATGTTTTTACCATGAAAATATTGGGATCTAAGCGATATACCTGATAAACGATGGTTGATTGATGATAAGTTCGGGATGATACCAACTATGTTGAGGATGATCAGAATCAACGGGGAATCCCGTTCGGAAAACCAGGCAGTATAACTTGTGATTGGGTTTGTCTCAAAATGGGGTACAATGAACCCCATTTTTTTCAATGTGAAGGGGAAAAAAACTGGTGGTGAGGCATCAAAGTTTGGGTAATCAGCCTATTTTCAAACACGCCAAGAAGGAGGCCTGGCCTTGTAGGTTTTGGATTCAGACGCTTGAGTCAAAGGGTTCCACAAGCCAATGTATGCGGCCTGCTGACACTTGAATGGCATAAAATTGTGGGTGTAATGTGTAATGGGATGTTTTTTCCTGGGATATTTGATATCTTCGATTTTCTTTGGCAACATGTCAGACAGGGATAAAGATCTTGTGCATCCTACCTTTATTTCAAGCTTTGACATGTACCCTCTGGTTATTTAACATAGCCATGGAAAATGGCCCATTTATAGATGGTTGACCTATTATAAATGGTGATTTTCCATCGCTATGTTAAATAACCAGATGGTAAATCTGCATTGCTCCAAACGCAACTCAGCAAAGATGCTATAGACAGACATCACCCCACCATCCGACCATCCACCAGCAAAAACAGAGTCGTTGCGCCCGCCGTTGCTTCGTTGCTTTTTTTTGGACGCAACTTGGCTTGTGAAGTTCTGCCAAGGAGACTACAAGGGATGAAACGAAGGTAGCGCCGATGTTTTTCTGCAAGACGAATTCAACGTGAGGCTTGTCGCAGAGCCCGGCCGTCGAGTCAGGTGGCAGTTCCAATCTTCCCACTTTTTGAGAATGTCACGACCGTGACAAGGGCCATGTACATCGAATCATTGTCCAAAGATCAGAGCTTCCAATCTTGACAAGTGATAGACTGTGATACAAAAAGGGATACTATGGGTCGAAATTCCGACATTCAGAAAACATTGTTGGTTTTTAAGGTGTCCTATATTGCATGATTTTCGCATGATTTTCGCATATCTCACGGATCCAGTCCAGACCCTAAGCAACTACCTGTCCAAAATTGCAATTGTTCATGATCCATGGAGACATGTTTCTTGCCCTTGAGCAAAGCCATGAATTGGAGCTGAATTTCACCCGGGACGGACTGCAGGAATCACGACTTGCTGTGCCAGCTTGATGGTGCTGTAGGGGGTCAATGGCCAACCACATCACTGCGGTGAGCTGCTCGATGTTTAAGTAATTCACTGTGAACTCGGAAACTCTTGCTATGCGAAAAAGACACGTGCGAAAAAAAAAAAAAGGCAAAGGAGGACAGTTCCTGTACTGTACCCGGATAAACTACCTGCAAGAAGCGCTGGTACGTCAAACATGATGAGAACAATTTACTTTCAGGGAAGATGTTATGATATTTAATCAGCTATAATGTATCCCTATAATTATACATTACGATACACAGTCAAAGACATCAATACTCAATTATAGAATCATCACAATATACAATTATAATCAATTATAATCAATTATAATATATACATATACATTGAATATGCATACAATGTGAGAGAATTCTAGCACTAGATGTTTAATATAATATAATTATCAAACATATCCCAGGTTACCGTCGCCCAGGCCTGCGACTCCCACGGCCACCAAGCGCCCAGCGGCGAAGCAACACTTCTCGGCGTCGAAGCTGCGGAAGTCCGGAGCGCCAAGCGTTGGATGCGGTCGGTTGCAGTTGATGGTAGACCCTCCAGTAAAACTAACAGTAAACTAGCAGTTTCCTATGGATTTATTTGAAAACTACCACTTTTGGGTAAATCATTGATGGGCCATGGCTTCCATAGCTATGGTAGTTTACCAGAGGGTATCTTGGAATTTGTTTGTTTTGTTGGGAAAAATCTTAACCAGAAACTTGCTGGTTTTCACCATCAAATGTAGAGCGGTTCATTGGATTTGTTTGTTTTGTTGGGAATATCTTGACCAAAAACTGGCTGATTTTTACCTGTTAAATTTACCCTTAAACCAATGCAGCGATATCTAAGTCTATGTGTGCCATTTAACATGGTATATCATTGGGATTGAATGATTTAAGAACTAACAACACTCTGGACTCTAAATAAAATGCATAGTAATGGGATCCAGCCGACTTAAGATGGATATATGGGGTATGGTCATCTATCCCACAATGGGAATCCAAACATAATGAGTGAATCCCCGTGAATATTGATGACCTCGTGGCGACGAAAAAACTGGAAATGATTGGGGATGGATTGGGTTAATTATCCCCTTGTTCCAGATTGGTGTATGATTATGACTTATTCGTGACGTGTATATATACAATATATTACAATATAGCGAATTACCATGAATTACATATTATCAAAATATATGATTACGTATGATGTTATCAGTTTTGTATATCTATCACTATATAAATAGTTGATGTATGGAAATACAGATAGAATTGATTGTTGATATGGTTAGGAGACAGCAGTTTGTCTAGGCTTGATTAGGTTTGTATATTATGTTGATAATATGGACAAATGTGGAACAGACTGTTTGAATCTGTTTGATATAGTCCCCAATCAACTGGAAAGGGTTGGATTCAGGAGACTTTACTGTACCTCCTTCATGTTTGGTAAAGGGTCATCATTGACTTCCCCAAACGCGGAATTATACCATTTGGTTATTTAACATAGCCATGGAACATGGCCCGGCCCATTTATAGATGGTTTACCTATTAAAAATGGTGATTTTCCATGGCTATGTTAGTCATAACCAGAGGGTTTAAGAATCTTCAACATTTCCGTTTGGGAGACACTTCCGGTCCAGGCTTCATCCCAGTGCTCGATACTGTTACGTCGATCGAAGGGTGCGCAATGACGGGGACGGGGAGGGGACGGATGGGGACGGCGGGGACGGGAGGTTTGGTTGTCATGGTGATGTCTTCCAGGCTTTGGATGACTGTTGTGGTAAAATATTGAAATATGCTGAATATATTGATGAAATTTGATGAATTATGGCAAAATATATGTGAGTTTCCCAGTGATGTCCCAGTGTTTGATGAAACAGCGGAAGGTTCTTGTGACATCTTCAGAAGCGTGAACGACAGCGCAGGTCATGGGCTGGGGATCCTCCAGTACACAACGAGCCAAAGTTGCTGCGGGAACCTATGCGACCACCCGAGGGCACTTCCCCGAAGCGGAGCTGGCGCGGGCGATGCGCACGCCGTCAGAGACCTATATGAAACTACAGAGATAAGATGGAAGCCATTACGGACCCAAGAGGTCCTTTTGCAGTTCAATGACGCGAAACAATTGCCCACTTAAACAACATTTTGATGGGTTCATTAAAGATGTTGCAATTGTGTGTGTGTGTCTCCTGTTTTGGGGCAGCGGCATTGAGGCCAGCAGTGCCTGGAGAGGAAGTTGAACTACAAGGCCGGCCAAGCTGGCGAGAGCAGAGTTGAGTTGCCCTAAGTCTCTAAGTTTAATTTACTTTGTTAAAACGGAAAAGCATCCGAAATGGGATAGGCACAAAATACTCCTACATGACATGAGTACTAGATTGTGAACCCAAAGATGACTCAAGAATTGACGGTTCTGCCAGAATGCGTCTTGAGTGCTCTTGGCGACAACAACAAGGTTCGAAGAAGCTGTGCGTTTGAGCGAATCGGTTTGAGCAATTGGAGCAGTCAATTTGCCACTGGCATTGCCGGACTTGTTGGCACAGTTGGTATTACCAACCTGACTTGCAGCTGCTTTGTTTTCAAGTCATGAATGGTCTGCTTTGTTTGATCCGGATGGTCGTAATATGTTGTATACTAATTATGTTCCAATGGAGACCACTTTGGAGCCGTTGAACTCAATTTCCTGCAGCTGAGACACAAGATGCTTTTCGCACTTCTGGTGAGACCATTTGAGGAAAATCTGAGGAGGGACCTCTCTGTCATTTGCGATTTAGGTTGAAACCACAAAAATTGTAGAAGGTGTCACAGAAGACACAAAGCCATGTCTTCAACTCGAGAAGTAGAGCTTGAGGCGCGCTGTCTCAGAGCAAGTTGCAAGATCTTTGTAGTGTGTGTGTGTCTGTGTGTGTTTGTGTGTGTCATATTTCGAAGCAGCAAAACGGTTTTCTGCCTTTCAACATCTCTCAACATCAACGAAAATATCCAGGCAAAACATTGCAAAACTACAGTAATTAAGCATCTACCAAAGAGTCTGATCGTATGGCGGACGGCGCAACGGCAGTTCCAAGTCTCGGCAGGTCTCTCCACAGACCCTTGGATACGCTCATGAAGGCCAGTGGGGGAGGGTCATCCCCCGATTGAGAGGGATTGTTATAAATTGTTATATAAAACGGGCTAGCGCCCGGGTGCCGCCGACCCCTCCTTCTTTGGGACACAACGCTATTATGTGGTCATGCTTAGAGTTTCCAATCTGTTTGTCCCGCTTGCCAAAAGTCTGTGAGGAGCAGTATACGCACGGGCCAAGTAGATCACCGACGCGCATGTGGTAACCGTTTCCAGGTGTGGGATGCGCAGGTCGTTGCGAAAGGGTATGTGTATATTTGCCCTGCTTGCAAAGAGAATGTGCCTAGTGACGTGAAGACAGGGCAAATAAACCATCGAACGGTCTGTGGGAACCAGTTTTCTGTCAAGGACGGCGTTGTGCAGGAAAAAGCGTATGTGTACATTGCCCCGCTTGCAAAGGGAATGTTGCCAGTGACGTCAAGACAGGGCGAATAGACCATCGAAGGGTCTGTGGGAAGCAGTTTTCTGTGAAGAACGGCGTTGTGACGGAAAAAGCGTATGTTTACGTTTGCCCCGCTTGCAAAGGAAATGTGGCCAGTGACGTGAAGACAGGGCAAATAAACCATGGAACGGTCTGTGGGAACCAGTTTTCTGTCAAGGACGGCGTTGTGAAGGAGAAAGCGTATGTTTACATTTGCCCCGCTTGCAAAGGGAATGTGGCCAGTGACGTGAAGACAGGGCAAATAGACCATCGAAGGGTCTGTGGGAAGCAGTTTTCTGTGAAGAACGGCGTTGTGACGGAAAAAGCGTATGTTTACGTTTGCCCCGCTTGCAAAGGAAATGTGGCCAGTGACGTGAAGACAGGGCAAATAGACCATCGAACGGTCTGTGGGAAGCAGTTTTCTGTCAAGGACGGGGTTGTGAAAGAGAAAGGTGGTAAACGGCAAGCTTGAACGCCGAGAAAAGGCTATTGATTTGGCTTTGGGGTATCGTTTGCATTGTGCAAAGGCTGGCAAACGGCAACCTTGGACGCCCAAGAGAATTGATTTGGCCTTGGACCCCCATGACGGGTTGTAAGGGTTTTAAGCGTTTGGAGGGTTTTTAAGGGTTTTAAGCGTTTAAGGGCTGGCAAACGGCAGGCTTGGACGCCCATAAGAAGACATTGATGTGTGGCCTTGGAGTGCCTGTTGGCTGCAGGATGAAGCATGCCAAGGTTCCCTTGTGTTTAAGGCCTGGCAAACGGCAGGCTTGGACCCCCCATGACGGGTGTAAGGGTTTTTTTAAGCGTTTGGATGGTTTTTGCGTTTAAGGCCTGGCAAACGGCAGGCTTGGACGCCCATAAGAAGACATTGATGTGTGGCCTTGGAGTGCCTGTTGGCTGCAGGATGAAGCATGCCAAGGTTCCCTTGTGTTTAAGGACTGGCAAACGGCAGGCTTGGACCCCCCATGACGGGTTGTAAGGGTTTTTAAGGGTTTTAAGCGTTTGGAGGGTTTTTAAGCGTTTAAGGGCCGGCAAACGGCAGGCTTGGACGCCCATAAGAAGACATTGATGTGTGGCCTTGGAGTGCCTGTTGGCTGCAGGATGAAGCATGCCAAGGTTCCCTTGTGTTTAAGGCCTGGCAAACGGCAGGCTGCGACGCCCATAAGAAGCCATTGATGTGAAGCCTTGCGGGCCTGGCAAACGGCAGGCTTGGACCCCCATGACGGTTGTAATAAGGGTTTTAAGCGTTTGGAGGGTTTTTAAGGGTTTGAAGCGTTTAAGGGCTGGCAAACGGCAGGCTTGGACGCCCATAAGAAGACATTGATGTGTGGCCTTGGAGTGCCTGTTGGCTGCAGGATGAAGCATGCCAAGGTTCCCTTGTGTTTAAGGCCTGGCAAACGGCAGGTTTGGACCCCCTATGACGGGTTATAAGGGTTTTAAGGGTTTTAAGCGTTTGGATGGTTTTTAAGCGTTTAAGGGCTGGCAAACGGCAGGCTTGGACGCCCATAAGAAGACATTGATGTGTGGCCTTGGGGTGCCTGTTGGCTGCAAGATGAAGCATACCAAGGGAATGTTTAAGGCCTGGCAAACGGCAGGCTGCGACGCCCATAAGAAGCCATTATGTGTAGCCTTGCGGGCCTGGCAAACGGCAGGCTTGGACCCCCATGACGGGTTGTAATAAGGGTTTTAAGCGTTTGGACGGTTTTTAAGGGTTTTAAGCGTTTAAGGGGCTGGCAAACGGCAGTCTTGGACGCCTATAAGAAGACATTGATGTGTGGCCTTGGAGTGCCTGTTGGCCGCAGCATGAAGCATGCTAAGGTTCCCTTGTGTTTAAGGCCTGGCAAACGGCAGGCTTGGACCCCCCGTGACGGGTTATAAGGGTTTTAAGGGTTTTAAGCCTTTGGAGGGTTTTTAAGCATTTAAGGGCTGGCAAACGGCAGGCTTGGACGCCCATAAGAAGACATTGATGTGTGGCCTTGGAGTGCCTGTTGGCTGCAGGATGAAGCATGCCAAGGTTCCCTTGTGTTTAAGGACTGGCAAACGGCAGGCTTGTACCCCCCATGACGGGTTAAAAGGGTAAGGGTTTTAAGGGTTTTAAGCGTTTGGAGGGTTTTTAAGCGTTTAAGGGCTGGCAAACGGCAGGCTTGGACGCCCATAAGAAGACATTGATGTGTGGCCTTGGAGTGCCTGTTGGCTGCAGGATGAAGCATGCCAAGGTTCCCTTGTGTTTAAGGCCTGGCAAACGGCAGGCTTGGACCCCCATGACGGGTTGTAAGGGTTTTAAGCGTTTGGAGGGTTTTTAAGCGTTTAAGGGCTGGCAAACGGCAGGCTTGGACGCCCATAAGAAGACATTGATGTGTGGTGTGGCCTTGGAGTGCCTGTTGGCTGCAAGATGAAGCATGACAAGGTTCCCTTGTGTTTAAGGCCTGGCAAACGGCAGGCTTGGACCCCGCATGACGGGTTGTAAGGGTTTTAAGGGTTTTAAGGGTTTGGAGGGTTTTTAAGCGTTTAAGGGCTGGCAAACGGCAGGCTTGGACGCCCATAAGAAGACATTTGTGGTGGCCTTGGGGTGCCTGTTGGCTGCAGGATGAAGCATGCCAAGGGAATGTTTAAGCGATGGCTTTTAAGGGCTGGCAAGTGGCCTTGGAAAGCTAAGAAGGAGAAGTTCCACACCTGCGGTGGTCCCAGGCGCCGCCCCTGCCTTGGCCAAGGCCGGGGTCGGCGGATATTAGATATGAATGTTGGTAAAACAATGCCATAAACGACCCATGACTGGGAATGTTTTTTTTCCTTTTTTCCGCACCTATTCATGGTAAAATTGTGGATGGTTTATGACATTGTTTTAGCCACATTATAGCGAATTCCCAATGATGGTGAGATGGCCCCCCAGTCATACCCTGGGATGACATCCATTAGGCGGATTGCGACGGCGTCAGTCGCCAGCAACCGAGCAGGCGGTGCTTCCCTTAGCAGCCTTAGCAGCTTGATCGGCGGTTTTATTTTTTTTCATCACTTGGATGTGTCTGAAAATGCAACTCAGAAGATGATGATAAACCATGATAAACCATTAGCAACTCTGAACATTGCCTTAAAAAATGGGAGACATGATGATAAACCATGAGATGTTCATAAGGTCTCCATGGGTCTCCTATTTTCAGAGCCACTTGTCGAGCTGTCAGGTTGATGAAGATACTGGATACCCTCGAGTCTTGCAGGAGGCCCTTGAGTCTTGTATTGTCCCATGACGGATCCATGGTGCTGCAATATATTAGGTAACATGGATCCCATCAATATACCCCCTTTATGTTAGCATATATACTGTATATGATGGTAACCAGTATTATTATTAACCAATGATTAACCATCATTAACCACTATTAACCATTACTAATCACTATTTTCCAATGGTTTTCCTATTGTTATATACCATACATGGATCCTATGGGTGTCTTCTTGTACTTCCTTAAGTCTTTATGTCAAGCCCCAGCCCTGTCGCCCCGTCCAGGCTCCAACGCTCCAAGAGCGCAAACAGAGTTGACCTGGCACGTGTTGGCAAGCACCGCTTGCGGTTGCGCTTGAAGCAGTGCGAGTTTACCCTCTGGTAATGACTAACATAGCTATTGAAAATGGTGATTTATAGTGGATTTTCCCATTAAAAATGGTGATTTTCCATAGCTACGTTAAATTACCAGAGTTTACTTTTTGCACTTCACATCCTGTGCTCAAGTTCCACTCAGAGTTGAATTTAGTCACTTTTCTTTACAAGACTTGTGGCCATGCGCAGGTGTCATCCTTGCGGTTGTTTCAATTGTTGACATCATCAGTGCTGGTCTCAATTTGATTTTTATTCGTCCGCACTGGAATTGTTTCCTTGATAGGTTAAAGCCTATACAATATTATACACATATCATTTCTGTACATCTCGTTACATTATGACATATTATGACATACCATGTTTGAAGATCCATATTGTATGCCAAGCTGCTAACCAATCCTCATCTTCACCTCTGGATTTGATCATCGCTGAAGGTAGCTCTGTCACGATGATTGTGGCCTTTCAATATGCCTATCGCGCTGTTGGCGCATCGTTGTATTGCCTTGGCTTCCAGGCCTGAGCATGGTGTAAGAGACACTGACATGCTATTGGACGCAGGGAAGCTGTCATTTTGGTCAATTGTTTATATATAATATATGGAGTTCTCATATATATAAATATATATTAATTATATATATAATATAGTCTTCTGGATGTTTTGGTAGTTTCATGGCTATGCTATTTCTATATTTCTATATACATAGATTTATAATATATTTTAAATATATATATATACTTATATATATATATATTCATAATATATACATATATATATTTAAAATATATACATATACATTTATAGTATATACATATATATATATATATTTATTATATATACATATACATCTATAGTATATACATAAATATATATATTTAATATATATATATATGTATATATTATATATACATATATTTTTATTATATATACATATTTATAATATATACATATATATTGAAAGTTATATATATATATATATTTATAATATTTACATACATATATTTATATACATATATGTATTTCTGATATATATAATATATATAATATATCAATATATATATTTATAATATATACATATATATTTATAATATATATATATGTAATATATATATTTATAATATATATATATTTGTATTATATACATATGTTTTATGAAATATACATATATATGTATAATGTATACATATATTATTTATAATATATACATATATATTTATAATATATATATATAATATATATTTATAATATATACATATATAATCATATATATATATACATATATATATATTTATGATATATATTTATAATATATACATATATATATATTTATGATATATATATATGTATTTTTAATATATACATATATTTATAATATATACATATATATATGATTATATATATATTTATAATATATACATATATATATATATATATTTGATTTTATATATATTTATAATATATACATATGTATATATATATATATGTATTTATAATATAAACATATATTTATGATATATACATATATATATATATTTATAATATATACATATATATATACACGATTATATATATATATTTAAAATATATACATATATTGATAATATATACATATATTTATAATATATACATATATATATATTTATAATATATACATATATTTATAATATATACATATATATATGATTATATATATATTTATAATATATACATATATATATATGTATTTATAATATATACATATATTTATAATATATACATATATATATATGTATTTATAATATATATACATATATTTATAATATATACATATATTTATAGTATATACATATATTTATAATATATATATATAATATACACATATATTCATATTATATATATATGTGTAATATATACATATATATTCATAATATATATATATTTGTAATATATACATATATATTTATTTATAAAATATACATATATATATATATGTATAATGTATACATATATCATTTGTAATTATTGAATTTCACGAGGTCTTGGGGTTTTGGGATTTTTTACGGTATATTGGGTTTCAAAGTCAAAATGCATCATTTCGAGCAACCTGCGAGCAGAAGGGTCGTGAGGAAAAGTGTTGAATGTTGTGATTTTTGTTGAATCAGTGGTCCACAGGTCCAACTGGCGTTCCAGAGAAACTGAAACAGTCGGAAACAGTCGGAAACAGTCGGAAACAGTCGGGAGCGGCCCGGCGTGATCGTGCCAAAATTGTCAATCCGCCATTTTTTTGCAAAAAAAAACGTTCCGCGCAATCCCCTTTTTTTTTTGAAAGTGCAACGGGAAACAGTTGGAAACAGTTGGGGCTCGTACCTTTGACTCGGCAAAAAACGAGCTATTTAAAACCAGTTTATAAATGTTTATAAAGAAAATGAACCTTAAATGGTTTTAAATAGCTCGTTTTTTGCCGAGTCAAAGGTACGAGCCCCAACTGTTTCCAACTGTTTCCCGTTGCACTTTCAAAAAAAATGGGGATTGCGCGGAACGTTTTTTTTTGCAAAAAAATGGCGGATTGACAATTTTGGCACGATCACGCCGGGCCGCTCCCGACTGTTTCCGACTGTTTCCGACTGTTTCCGACGGTTTCCGACTGTTTCCGACTGTTTCCGACTGTTTCAGTTTCTCTGGAACGCCAGTTGGACCTGTGGACCCCTGATTCAACAAAAACCACAACATTCAACACTTTTCCTCACGACCCTTCTGCTCGCAGGTCGCTCGAAATGATGCATTTTGACTTTGAAACCCAATATACCGTAAAAATCCCAAAACCCCAAGACCTCGTGAAATTTAACCTTTGTAATATATACATATATATTTATAATTTATATAATATACATATATATATATATATATGATATATACACATTTACATATCCAATACTTCATGTATCGTCGTCTGCTGGAGTCCTTGTCCCACCTCTTGTCCTCGATCCTGCTGACCTTGCGACTCATCGGCGAGCTTCGCGTGCCTGGAGCTCAGCCTTTTCCATGGCGTCAGACGATGTCCACGCACAATATCGCACAGTAAGTAATATACAGATATATACATGTATATAATATATATGATTGTACGCCCCAGTGATAATAGATGAGTGAAGTGTTTGTCAACTTTTGAATCCTTGCGCAGTTTCGGCTTAAGGGTGTTATGAGTGGAGGCCCCGCACCTCCTGGTGTGGAGTCCCTACTGGTGGCCTCCTGGAACCGAGTGGGTCTGCTGATTGGGGATTCCCGCCTAACCGAAGCGTTACGGTGGGAGGCCCTGAGGCGGGTCAGAAACTTCTACGGTGAGCTCCAAGACCTGATTGAGGGTGTAGGAGCACCTCCTGCTGTGGAGGGAAACTTGCGGGGCCAAGAAGGGGTGGCAGTCCCTTCCTGGCCTGTTACTGAGAGAGGCCCGCCAGCAGCCTTCCCCAAGTCGGCTGGACTGGGGTGTCAGGCGGAGGCCCCGGCAGAAGAGGATAAGGGAAGAGAGGCAGCCCCCGACAAAGAGCACAAGGCAAGGTCAGCATCACCACCTGAGGAACCTAAAAGGAAGAAGAAAGAGAAAAAGTCAAGGAAGAAGGACAAGGATAAGAAACGCAAAGAGAAAGAACGCTCATTGGAGACAGTGACGCCTCCTGCATCTCCGGGCAGAGAAAAAGAAGGTGAGGTAATAAAGGTGGAGCCAGAGCCTGCGACAGAAGAGCTCCTGAAAGAGAAAGAAAGTGAAGAAGAAGAAGTTGAACTTGAGGGCGAGGAGTGCAGCTCTCCGGCCATTCCCGCTGGTAGTCGTGCGCCGGCTGCTTCACCTGAGAGAGAAGAAACCGAGAAGAAAAAGAGCCGCACTCCCGAGGTGAGGGAGAAAAAATCTGAGAAGAAAAGTCCAAGGCGAGAACGCCGCCGCAGCTGTGAGGATAGAGACCGAGAGCGGAGAAGGTCTAGAAGCAGATATAGCTCCCGTAGAAGGAGGGAGAAGAGTCGCTCTAGGAGGCGGCATTCTACAGGGAGTCGTCCTCCTCCCGAGCCAGAGTTGCCGCCGTTGCAAAGGCCTAGATTGCCAACTGCACCCCCTCCTGGGCGTTTTGATCATCCGGGTGGTTTTTACGGTTACGGCACTTGGAACAGCAAAGGAGTCAAGAGGAGGCAACGAAATTGGGATATTAGACAGTACGGGACGGATCCGTCTCGGAAGGCAGCCCGGGTGGACGGCTACCATTCCCAAGGGGGAGACTACAGAGGCCGTTGATGCGGAGGAGGCCGGCCGCGGCTGCACCGCCCCCTCGTGGCCCTGGTCGGCGCCGGCCGGCTGCTAGAGGTGAGGGAGAAGCTCCTGAAGCAGAAGGGGAGCCTGCTCCCGTTTTGTCTCCCGAGGAGTGGGAGAGAAAATATAAAGCAGGTGAGATCATCTTGGCGGCTCACTACCCCATTGGGTCTTTTAGAAAAGGAGACTGGATCCAGAGCTCTACAGCCAACTACTGTGGTGAGGTGTGCAAGGTGGCCCTGAAGATCAGTAAAGTGTCAGTGGAGGACGGGGAGGCTGAAGCCTCCGTTACAGTGACGGGGACTCAGTCGGAGAACCTCCTGAGATTCGTCACAGGTCAGCCGGGATTGAAACTTCGAGCTCATCTTTGTCCCCGTGGTTGTGATCAGCTTCGTACCAACCCGGATCTTATCCACCTCAAAGAGTTTCAACGGGTGCCACCTGAAGGAGAAAAGGGATGGGAGGAGAACCTCCTGGTGACCGACGAGAATGCCGATCTGAGGATAGATATGGAAAAGCGAGGAGCTCCCAAGGAGAAAAAGAAGAAGGCCACCGAGAGCGAGACCAGTGGGAGCTCAGAAGGAAAAAAGGGCAAGAAAAAGAAAAAGAAAAAGAAAAAGGGCAAGAAAGAGAAAAAGAAGGTGGGAGGACGGAACCAGGCCAAAAAAGCTCTTACCGCTTTGTTCGAGAATACAGGCCTGGATCCGGACTCCCGGCAAAGAAAGAAGATTGTGGCCCGCATGAAACGGAAATTGAAGAAGGCAAAGGAGAGCTCCAGCAGTTCGTCTTCGAGCAGCAGCCACAGCTCCACCGGCGACGAGAGAGTCGAGGAAGACTTGCTTCAAGACCGCTCGAAACTTCAAAAAATTGCCACAGTGGCGCCGGGGGTGTTGGCAGCGGCTGCTCTGCAAACGATGAAAACATTCATCATGCAGAGCAGTGGCAATCCGTGGAACCTGGAGGAGGGGAGTTTACCTCCCGTGCTTTGCCAATACGCTCGGCAATACCTCCTGACGAAAGCAAGTGGAGGATTGAAGCGGGAGATCGAGACGCTGGTGGTCTTGGGAGACTATCTTTTGATGGGCCGCGCGGCAGAGGCGTGCGACGCCTTAGTGCAGCGTTTAAAGAGCCTGGAGCTGGTGCTGGGCGGACAGAGCTGGTCCACCAGCCAAAAAGTAGAAATCATCCCCAATGTGGACGCGGGGGTGGCGACGCGAGCCGAGCTGCAGCTTGCACAAAGGGAGGCGGCCCTCGACCTGAAGTCCAAGGGCAGTGGTGCGACATGGTCTCGAGACAAGGGCAAAGGGAAAAGCAAAGACAAAGAAGGCGGCAAGGAAAAAGGAAAGTCAAAGGGAAAGCCGCGAGAGGAGCCGAGAAAAACCTCCTGAAGGTGGGAGGAGAAGACCTCCTGCGCCAGGGAGTGAAAAAGAGGAGAAAAGGTGGCCGAGAGAGGCCTGCAGAGGAGGACAAAGCTCCCGAGGAAAAGGGGAGAGAACTGCGGATGGTGACAAGAGAAGGAAGGCTCGACTTGGACTCAGAGAAAAATGTTGACAAGGGCTCTACACTGGTGATGCGTAAAAGAGGAGAAGAACGGGCTGCTTTGGGAGTGAATCAACTCCTGCGAGCGTTTCACCCCGGATGTGGAGAGGCTGCCACCTCTCCTGCTCCAATGCCAGGTTTGTCTCCTAATTCAGGAGAGAGAATTCAAGAACCAGACAGCCAAAGCTTAGGCTTGGGCCAAGCTGAGGGCGATGCAAAAAGTGAGCAGACTGATCAGGGTGGCTTTGGGATGGAAATGTGTATTAGGTGGCTTGATAGCAGGTCGGACCTTTTTGATTTTCCGCTCCGTAAAGTCGTGTCCTCGGGCAAAGTTTTTCCATTGCCCACGTCCCTCGTGCTGTTAAGCCATCTATTCCCCGAAGCAAAACAAACTTGGTTGGTCTGTCTTAGGGTTCTTTGTTCTGCGTTGAATTCCCTCAATGGTGAAGGGATGTTTTTTAAGGGTGACAAGCCGTCTAAACTTCAAACACAAATTTTAGAAGGTTTGTTGCCTGCATGTTGTAGAGTGTGTAAATGGACCGCACATGTTCCTTGTGTATCCTGGGATGAGTTCTTCCGTGTTAGAGGAGTCGACTATAAAGGAGATGAAATTCTCAATGCACAATGGATCAGATGGGCAAATGTTGCCCCCGCACTACCCCGTGAAGTAGGTGGTGTTGATCTTGGGTCGGTGGTTGAGCTGGGCTCTCATCACTATGTGGCTAACTTCGAGGAATATTTGTTGGACCCTCGTGATCAAGTTTATGTACGTCCACCACGTGTAATGGTACCTCCTGAGTGCTGGGAGGAGTTTTGCGGTAACATGATGGAAAGAGGGGTTTTCAGCCGGGTGCACGAAGATGAGATTTTTCGGGTGCAAGGTAAACTTCTGTTGAACGGATTGTTTGGGGTGACCAAACATGAGTTCGAAGGGGACTGGGAAATTATGCGGGTAATCATGAACTTGGTACCTGTGAATGCGGTGTGCCGTGCGCTGGACAGTGATATTTCTACCTTACCTTCATGGGCTGGAATGTCACCACTGGAGCTGGTTAGTGATGAGGAACTGGTGGTGTCAAGTGAAGATGTGCGTTGCTTCTTCTATATATTCCGAATACCGTCCAGCTGGCACAGGTTTATGGCCTTTAACCGTCCTCTCCCTCAGTCTGTGCGGCAGCAAACCGGGAAATTGGTACCCCTGCAGCTCAGTGTTGCCAATGGGGTTCAAAAATAGTGTGTCCCTGGCACAGCACGTACACCGGGTTATCGCGAAGAAGGCATTGGCACGGTGTCGATTAGGAGGAGAACTGGAGTTGCGGAAAGATCGTTGTTTCACTATGGGGAATCCCATGTTCAGAATTTACTTAGATAATTTTGATGAACTTCAGAGGGTCTCTAAGGGACACGCTGAGGTTATCGCTGGAAAGGTTTCACCCCTTGTTTCATGTTTGCGGGAGGAGTATTCCTTGTTGAATGTGCCGCGGCATCCTAAAAAAGGGGTGTCCAGCCAGAGTGTGGCTGAAGTACAGGGTGCAATTGTAGATGGTCAGTTGGGAATCGCGTATCCTAAACCTGACAAGGTCCTCAAGTACGCGCAGCTGGCTATGGTACTATTGAATGAAGGTGTGGCCACGCAAAAACAGATGCAAGTGGTTGGAGGTGGACTGGTGTATTTAGCAATGTTCCGGCGGCCGTTGCTGGGTAGCTTGAACTGTATCTGGTCGTTTATCTGCTCCTTCAATCCCTTTCCCCCGGTGGTGAAGTTGACCATCCCTTTGGAAGTGCGGGTTGAAATTGTGCGGTTTCTGGGTTTGGTCCCGTTGTCGTTCTTGGACTTTCGGTGTCGGTTGTCTGGGTTGGTGACGGCTAGTGATGCGTCTACTACCGGAGGGGGGTGACTGCCTCTAAGGGTCTTACTCCTTCTGGTTGTGTGGCTGCTCACTGTCCTGTTCGGGGCGATGTCGTGGAACCTGCAGATGTCACGGGGGTGCTCACGGTGGGGTTGTTCGATGGCATCAGTGGTCTGCGGGTTGCAGCTGACTCTCTTGGCTGGAACGTAGTGGACATATCAGCGTGGAGAAGTCGCCTGAAGCAGCGCGTGTGGTTGAGTCCAGGTTCCCCAACACTATCCATGTGGCTGATGTGAAGGACATTTCGGCGGATATGGTTAAGGAATGGTCACTCAAGTTTTCACAGGTGGGGCTCATCGTCCTTGGGGCTGGTCCTCCGTGTCAAGGCGTCAGTGGGTTGAATGCATCGCGTAAGGGCGCACTGCGTGATCAACGGAGTGCCTTATTTCAGCACGTTCCCCGGGTGAGAGAATTGCTGCAAAGAGGTTTCCCATGGGCACAGGTCCAAACCTTGATGGAATCAGTGGCCTCGATGGATAAAAATGACGAGGAGGTGATGTCTATGAGCTTTGGCGCGGAATCATGTTACATTGATGCAGGTGATGTAAGCTTAGCCCACAGGCCAAGGCTTTACTGGACAGACTGGGAATTGACATCTCAGGAGGATGCTGTAGGTGATTTTCTACCCGCAGGGAGGTGGCAATATTCACTGAAGGCAGATGTGGAGCCAGAGCGCTACCTGCAATCGGGATGGAAAGCTGTAGACCAAGGAAGGTTTCCCACTTTTACTACTTCGAGGCCTCGAGATTCGCCAGGCTACAAACCTGCTGGTCTTAAACAATGCTCTCCGGAGGATTTGAAGAGGTGGACGCAAGATAGGTACAGGTTTCCTCCGTACCAATATCAACAGCGGCACTGCGTGACAAACAAACATGGGACCCTGCGTCTCCCGGACATTGAAGAAAGGGAGGTTATCATGGGATTTCCAAAAGGATACACCTCGCAGTGTATGCCTAAGTCCAAGCATGGGTCAAAGGAGTACCATGATTGTCGGTTGTCACTAATTGGCAACTCGTGGAATGTCACGGTGGTTGCATGGTTGCTGGGGCACCTGGGGGAGCGATTGGGTTTAAACCAGCATTTTAAAGTACAGGACCTCGTTGCACGAACAGCGCCGGGATGTCAAACAGACCTGCAGACTTTTTTGCACCGCCCATTCATGGGGCATGGCGGTCGCATACCAGGACCATCCAATGAGGTGAGACTGGTGCGTAAATTGTGCACGTTGGTCAGCATTAAAGGTGATGACCTTTTACTCCAATCCACATCGGAAGACCAGGTCAGGTATCAACGCCTGCGGGCTTCTCTTCCAGCTAAGCTGTGGAAGTGGCGGACCATTTGTGGTTGGAAGTGGTCTCAACAAACTGAGCACATTAATGTCCTGGAATTACGTGCAGTTTTAACCGCCCTTAAATGGCGCATTGAGCGCAAAGGGGTGCTGCATTCGAAATTTGTGCACCTGGTAGACTCTCTCGTGTGTTTACACTCGTTAAGCCGCGGTAGATCAAGTAGCAGAAAGTTGAAGCGTACCCTGCTTAGGATCAATTCCCTTCTTCTTGCCACAAACTCTCATGTGGTGTGGGCCTACGTCCACACAAAGGACAATCCGGCGGACGCCCCAAGCAGGCTCCCCCGGAAAAGAAAATGGTCCAATGCCTAAAAGGCATCTAGAGGGAAAAACGCAAGAGGAAAGGGTTAAGATCCGGAAAAGTATGGGTACACTGCGAGAGCTAACTGTGCAACCCGTTACAAAAGCGAGGTATGCTCAAGCTAGAGAGAGTTTTTATACCTATTTGCGCGAACACCATATCATTTTGCCTACTCAGGCAGCTGCTTTGGACTCTGTAGTTGGAGATTATTTGGAACATCTGTGGGCCTCAGGAGCTGGGCGAACGGAAGGTTCCAATATCCTGGCCGCATTACAGGACATTCAGCCAAGACTCAAAGGAAAGTTGGTTGAAAGTTGGAGGTTGCTCAAGACTTGGACCACACATGAGGTTCCTAATCGAGCGTCTCCGTTACCTTTGGAAGTTGTTCACGCCATGGTAGGGTACGCAATGTTTAAACAAAAGCCACAACTGGCGCTCAGTTTTTTGCTGGCGTTCCATGGTCTCCTGCGAACGGGAGAACTCCTGAATGTAAGAGGGAGACATGTTGCAATTCGTTCGCCACGTGGTCCAGCAGTAATCTCGCTAGGCCTAACCAAGAGCGGAAAACGCCAAGGAGCGGCTGAATCCGTTACAGTGCATGGTGAAGATATCTGTCGAAGACTGTTCCAGTGGGTTCAACGTTCTCCGCCGAATGTTTCCTTAACGGGGCCTGCACACGTTTGGCGAAAAGAATTTTCCAGTGTTCTTTCCAATTTGGGATTTTCACGTTGGGATTTTAGACCGTATTCTTTGAGACGAGGAGGCGCTACTTACCTCTTCTCATCTCAAACTGGATTTGATCAGCTACTTGTGGCTGGTCGCTGGCAATCAGCGAAAACGGCACGTGTTTACCTTAATGAAGGGTTGTCTGTTTTGGCAGAGATGACACTCCCCTGGAGTTCTTTTTCAAAAAATTTTCGGCAACAATACTCCCGTAGTCTCACTTTACCCCTGCCTCCACTTGAGCCCGTGCCTAAACAGGCACAGAGCAGGGGGACTTGGAAGAAATGCAGTCGCACAAAAAACGCTGGGGTGGCGTGTAATGGGTTTGGTCTTTCTTGTCTTGGGTTTGGCCGGACAAGAAAGAACCCATCTTTGTTTATACCTTGGCTGGAGTCTCCTTGGGTTTGGCTGGGAGTCTCCAGGGGTATAAGGGCTTTGGCCTTTGAATGGTGGTTTGATTGTGGTTTTTGTGCTCCTGGGAAGGGAAAAGCTTTTCGGAATTTCTCTATTTTGTGACAAATCTGACTTTGCGGAGCGAACAAAAGTTGTGGCGCTGAACGAGTCTATGATTGTACGCCCCGGTTATAATAGATGAGTGAAGTGTTTGTCAACTTTTGAATCCTTGCGCAGTTTCGGCTTAAGGGCCCACCCTTTGTTTTTTCCCCCCCAGGAGAAGAAATGCAGTCGCACAAAAAACGCTGGGGTGGCGTGTAATGGGTTTTGTCTTTCTTGTCTTGGGTTTGGCCGGACAAGAAAGAACCCATCTTTGTTTATACCTTGGCTGGAGTCTCCTTGGGTTTGGCTGGGAGTCTCCAGGGGTATAAGGGCTTTGGCCTTTGAATGGTGGTTTGATTGTGGTTTTTGTGCTCCTGGGAAGGGAAAAACTTTTCGGAATTTCTCTATTTTGTGACAAATCTGACTTTGCGGAGCGAACAAAAGTTGTGGCGCTGAACGAGTCTATATATATAGATATAATATTTAATATATATATATATAATATGTATATGTATGATATACAACGCTTATGTTTGTGATACTAGAAGATACCAGGAAACTTGCTTTTTCGGATGTTTTCGGTCCCCAGAAGCTGTCTGTTTGCATCGGCTGCTGAGGCCGCAGGATGCCGAGGAAGCATTGCTGAGGCGCGGAGATCGCATCACGTCCTGGGACCGCTGGGACCGCTGGGTTTGCGGCAGCAAAGGTCCGAACGGAAACGGTTTCTGATGCGGGAACAACTCCTCAATGTTGCTGCTTGGCATGAAAAAAACTGATCTAAACTGCAGAAGGCAGAAACGTTAGGATCGTGGTCCATACATAGTGTTTCATAGTTTTAAAGAGGAATTCAGAAAATGAAACACTTAAAACCCTACATTTTATGAAGAGCAAGGAGATAAACGTGTAAAGACAGTGGGATGCAAGACATTGTGATGCCAGAAGCGAATAGAAGATGATAGAAGTGATGCATTGATTGATCAACAATTTAGTGTAGATTAGTTTTTTGCGCATCTGATTTTGGTATCAGGTTTGATTCAGTAATCACTGAGCTGTTTTGACACTAGCATACCTAGCAGTGCTGGCTAACCTGCTAACCATAGGTCATTAGGGTTGTACTACTTGGCCATAGTATGGATGGACTGGAATGTCACAATCCATTGATGTCAATTCTAGAAATCCAAAATCTGAACCGAAGAACCGAGTTTTTTTGTCGCTAGAAATAGGCCATTGAAGCAGGTATCAACACCTGAATTTGTCCCAGATCGGATCAAGGGTAAATCATGGTACCCTCTGGTAATTTAACATAGCTATTGAAAATCACCTTTCTTAATGGGAAAACTCACTATAAATGGCCATTTTCAATAGCTATGTTAAATTACCAGAGGGTAAATCACTGCTTTCGGCACCGTGCTGAGTTAATGGGACTGTCCCTGCTGATTGCTGCAGCGGCTCTGGTCTTCAAGGCGGAAGCAGAGTTCCACTGCAGGGAATGTAAGGACACCAATTTGAGGCACGTATGTAGATGTATCCCCCCCCCTTTAACCCTGGAATATTTGGGGGGGGGTAAGGCAACAAATTTCTGAGAAATATTTCACCTGACCACATGAAATATACCCCCCCCCACATGTTTTTGGGGCTTCCAAAAGATGTGGGGGGGGGGTCCTCCGGATGCAACATTTTAGCCCAGAGATGGTATGGCACACCCTTTCATTTTGAACATACATACATACATACATACATTCATACTTTCATACATTCATATATATATATACACATACATGTACTTAAATACACATAATGTATGTAATATTGGCACAAACATACTTACAGAAAAATGCAACGGTGAAATTTTTGAGGGGGGGTAGTTGCAAAACCATGGTATTTTACAGTTCTAGCAGGGTCCCCCCCAAAAAAAATCCATTGCCAATGCTGGAGGAGCCCCTTCTTGTTTCCTACCCCTGCGGTAAATAAAGAACTACAACAGCAAAATTTTTGAGGGGGGGTAGTTGCAAAACCATGGTATTTTACAGTTCTAGCAGGGTCCCCCCCGAAAAAAATCCATTGCCATACTTACGCGGGTAGGGCCCACGCGCAAACCACACAACTAGGTAAATGGATGTAAATGGTAACTGCCAGTTTCCAAGAAAATAAATACGGGGGTAAACTTGTCAAACAGCCTTCAAAGCTTGACGTTCAGCCTTGAATTCAACCAGGCCCTGGAGAGACCATTATAAACCATAAATTTTTAGCTGAAATATTTCTAGGTGTGGGGGGTGACCCCCCCCCAAAGTGAAATATTTCAATTTTTAACCCCCCTGTGCTCACCCCCCCCACCCCCCCCTTAAAGGGGGGGGGATGTAGATGTATATTGTGTAATTATATATATATATATATTATACAGTGTGTATACATATTGATCAATGAGTATGATATATAGATATATACTGCAGGTAGTATTTTTCAGTGTATGGCCCAGCTATATCTCGGCCCATGATTTTGCGATGACGCTTGGTTGATGGCACATCCGCTTCCCCGCAAACTGCACCGCACTGCGTCAAATTTGCGAGCTCCCAAGTAGGTCACAAAATGTAACAACAAGTGTTGCTATCAACTCTGCACTGCCAATATTTGCTAATATTGTGTGCTAATAATCACGGAAGTCTTGGTTGCATTCAGTTTCGAACATTTGAGACTTGTTCTGAACGCTTTAAACATGATCTTGGAACTTGCTACAATCAGAATAGAAAGGCACTCCCAACGAGACTCAGCTTGGAGGCAGCGAGGAAGATCCGATTCTGGGACAAGTCGCTCCCTGAGTTTTTGCCCATTTTGCATCATTTTGCCTAATATGGCTATGAGTCAATACCTATTAATACCATTTTTAGAGGGATGAACATCCATTTACCAGCTATTTTTATGTTCACCAGGGGTACAAGGTTTTGACCCACTGCCATATTTTGCCCATGAAAGTTGGTGGTTCCCGGTGGTTCCCGGTGGTTCCCGGTGTCCCTTTTGCCAGGTGGTACCTGGATCACAAAGACATGGACCAACAGGCGCAATGGGCCACCGAGTTCTTGGCTTGGTATGGCTTCGCCTTCTACCTCCTCCAGGCGGGATGAGATCCCCAAAAAGGGGATCCCCATGGGGATAAGGGCCGATCACCAAGGCCTTGGTGCGTTTTCTGCTGGGGCGAAAGCTTCGGAGAAACATTGTTGGAGCCCCAGGGACGCAGTGATTGGGCTGATATGGGCTGATGCTTGTTGGATTTTGTCACCAAGTATACTGTGTACGTTTGTGTACCCAACCTTTTCATTCCGATATCTCAGATGTACTCAGCAACTCAATAAAAAATGTAAACATGTCTTAAAGTGATATGATATCTCACACTTACTCAGCAACTGAGCACCATTTGTACAGCCTGCGCTGAGGTGTGGAATGCTTTTGTCACCTCAGTCATTAGCCTGTTGTTTCTTCTTGCAACTGCCCCAGTACACCCTGTTGAGTTCCACCACCTTCAAGGTTTTTCAAGCTGTGGCCAGCAACCATCAGAGTGAAATGTTGAGATTGTTGAGGAAGGTCAGGGAGATTTTTGTTCAAACAGACATGTTTATTATGATCTATAATTCATTTACATTCATTTAAGAGTTTTTTTGTGAATTACAATCTGCGGAAGCCTCGGAAACTGCAGATTGAATCAGTTTGGTACTATCCTGGCGACCTTTTCGTCGACAAGGTCATGGGGATTGCAGCTTCCTATGAGAAGGAGTGGTCTTGGAAGGCGCGACTCGAATTCTGTGTTCAATCGCCAGATCTTGTGGTTGGTACACCAAACTTGACTATGACTCAATCTGACTGATATGTGATGCCTCACCGAAGAAAACTGAAACCCTTCTCCAATTACCTTGTAATTTAAACAATGTTCAATGGCATTATGTCCACCTTTTTTGTGTTCCATAGATTCCATAGTCATATTAATCATATATTACGATTCTGGGAATCTTTCATCATGTCCCAGAATCATGGCATAAGATTCTTTAATTAATCAGATCAACATCCACCAATAATGTCCCATTGATTTCCATATAATAAACCATCCCCAAGTCATCACCATTTTTGTGGCTGGTAAATTCCATCCCTAAATGGTCGTTATTCATGCCCCATTCATCAACATTAAACATTGTTATTAACCATTATGGATATCCATTATTAACCATCAACCATTGTTCACCATTGTTAACCATTAAGCATTGTTATTACATTAACCTAACCATTAACCGTTAACCATTAACTATTAACATCTTTAGATTATTTGATTATTTATTTTATTTCCTATTGTTGATGTCTAACAACTAAATAAAAACAATGGAATTCCCCTGAGAGCTGCACCTCGTTCTTCAGGCAGAGCCCATTTGTGCCATTCTCCTTGCCATGGTCTCCACCTCGGCATTTGCGGTTTACCGAACTGAGTTTCTGCACAAGCATATGATATATATATAATATATATAATATATATATATATATCAATATCTCTATATATATATATATATACATTGCTAATACATGCTAATACACAAAATCATATATGATCTATGATCTCTATGTAATGTACATAATATGTTACGAAAGCCAGCCGATAGGCTAGGCAAAGTTGTTTTCGCGAACGAAGTGAGTATAGGGGGTGTGGGGGGGGAGGTTGCCCAGGTGCACCGAAATCTCGATATCGAGTGGTGATAAGGGTGGCCAATTGGAATTTTTTAGGGGGGCATGTGCCACTAGGCAATTTGGTGAGGTTGGGGTTCGATTCTCCCTAGGTCCCCCTGAAAACGGAAGGAAAAAGGTAGGAAAAAACAAAGAAAATGAAGGAAAATCGCTAGAACCAGGGGGAAAATGGAGGAAAAGGAAAAAACCATTAAAATGGAGGACACAAATGAATGGCAAGCTTGAAAAAACCAAGGAAAATTGAGGAAACCGTTGGGAAAATGAGGAAAGTGCAGGAAGGAAACTCTTGAAAAACCGTAGGAAAACGCAGGAAAAGGTCTGAAAAAAAGGCATGAAATGGAGGAAAGGCAAAGCTTTGAAAAAGCTAGGAACATAGAGGCAAGCATATTAAAAAAATAAGGATCCGAAGCTCAACGGAGAGCAGCGTCCGTTGGGGTTCGGAGCAAGACAGTTTGCAAGGGGATGAGGAGTGATGCCAAGGAAGGAGTGGCGAAGGGTTGCAAAGCAAGGACAAGTGTGAAAAAAAAGGAACATGCAGGCAAGTTGTGTCATATAGATATGTATATATATATATATATAGATAATGTGCTTTAAAAAGACTTCTTGTTGCTGGAAGTAACAAAAATGGAGGAAGGCCAGACAAAAAGATTCCGGCTAGGGGCTGGCTTTCGTCCCCCCTTCTCAGGTATATACAATATGTATATGGCCATTTGCCAAAAATAATTGACAGAAGTTTTGTACTAGTTGTTGATATAATTAGTGTGGACCTAGTTGTTTTTCCTCTTCGTCATGAGGCGGCACGCAACTAAATTCACCAATTCTGCAAGGCAGCGCTAGCAAGCCCGCTAGGTTTGCGCTAGTTTTTTTTCACACCCATATTCGGGGATCTTTTTGGAACACTTAGCTCCTTAAACCTAAGGATGTCTTAGTGAATTTCTGTGCTACTCAACAATTTTCCTATATTTTTGAGGTTGCGGCTCAACTTTGCGAATTTGTACGTAATTTTGCCCGCTAGATCCCCGCTAGCAATGCGCCAGCAAAAATTTCAAGAAACGGCTTTGGTTGACCCGTGACCCAGTCGCCACCAGAGAACTTGTAGTTTATCCTGTTTGTTTGACAAAGCAACAGTGACAGCAAAGACAACGACCAGTTCTGCAGATATTCCAGCTCCACCATTAATAACTAGCAGCGGCACCCACTTCATATGAACGCGCGTTAGCATTTACTGCAGGTTTTAGCAACGGCTTCAAACATGAAAAATAAAAATGCAGGGTTTCAGACTATTTAGATCAGTCATGGTTTTAAAGGCACAATAAGAAGCGGCACGCAAGGAATTACGATTTATCAACAAAACCAGGAAAAAACAGTTTGACAAACCGTCATTTATAGAATTATTTGAATTATGTTATGATACAACTAATATCAATGAACCTCTTCTCTCGAATATTCAATACAACCCCTAGAACCCATGATATAGTATTGGATTTGTTGATTGGGGGGGCCGTGTGGGGGGTGTTAAATATCGGGGGGATGTTGGATTAGCACGTTGCCGGTTCCAGGTATGCGTGATTGAAGGCATCCGCATAACTATTGCCAACATGGACGCCTCGCACTTACTGTACTTTTGGCCTTGTGACACAGAAACTTTTCACCTTTTTTCTACAACACTCAACAGGTCAGGACAGAACTTACAGGAAACTGTGGTTTTCATGTGTAAACTGAAGAAAGCATCCCCAATATTCCCATGAATGGTTCATAAATGGGTCAATATGATCCACTTAAATGGTAATTAACTTTGTGGCGGTGAATCCCACATTGTTACAGAATCTGGGACTTGAGGACATGAGCACGAGGATGCGCTTCGACTCGCGAGCTTGAGACGGAGACATTCTTTGATAGGTAGATCATCAATGGAGGACCAGCTATTCAATAGCTATCTTAGTAAACACATGTAAACACCCAAGCATAATATGAAGTATTAATAAGTATCAAGTGTATCATATTGACTAATATGTTACTGAACTAGATGGCATGTTTTTCAATAGATGTGAGAGGCTTCTCACTGGGTCGATGGTGGGGACATCATTGAGCTTTTCAGATGCACGCAGGGCATGCACAGTGAGAATTCAATCGTGGCTGCACAAGCTTTGCGGCCGAATTCACGAGAACAGTTGAGATGCGCATCTCTGCTTGACGTGTGCCCGACAATGAAAAACAGATGAGTTGCGGATCAATCGCAATTTGCCAATTTCAAGCTTGGATATCTATGGATATCTTGGATCTTCTTTTATAACTCTGAGAGTCCTGTTTCGTCCCAGAAATTCTGCAAATCAACAAGAACTCTATGACTCTTCCCTGTCCAGTGATTTTTTTTTCTGCCACTGTGAACGTTGTGAACTGGAGGTGCTGTTCAATGCCAGACTTCAAGGTCCTGTGCAGGAAGTTCTGAATTGGGAGGTGCAGCCCTGGAACGGGATGACCAGATCTAGAAACATGGCACCAGAGGAGTAAAGACGATTAATATATGATATGTAGACTAATGATATTAGATTTACTCCTACATAGATAATGATAGATATTAATTTACATACAGTAGATAATGCCATATATGTAGATTAATGATGTTGGCCGGTAATGAACAGTCGTGAACGGCCATGCTGTACACTGGACAGGTGTGACTTCTCACCCAATTTCGCACGGCCGGCCCTTTTCCTTCCTGGAAAGGCTACGTGCAAACGCTGCGAACGAAGCATGAAAGATCGAAAGCCCGACAAGCAGGCCAAGAGTTTTCTGTGATCGAGTAATCAAATAAGTATAAATTATGATGAAATCAAATGGAATCCAATGATAATCAAATGATAAATGGTTTTTAGTTTTCCAAGGCAATGGCTTTATTCTTTATGATCTTTATATGTAGCAATATTTTTTATCATTCTCCCAGAATTGATCATAACCCCGTGTTTTTGTTGGGGAATAAAGCCAGCCATTGACATTCGCAAATGAGCATGAATCAAGACCTATCATACCGTATACCAAATTATACATTGTTATACCATATTTGGGGGTAGATGAACATCTACAAATCCAGCATGAATTCATGGGTGAACTGAAGGTTCAAGGGAATTCCATGGGTGAACTGACCCATGGGCTTGGGTCAAAATGAGATACGTCCAAATATGGGATGACAGAAATAGACAACATTTAAGTGCTCCCATCTGACATTTTGACCCATACATTATCAATCTCAAAGTATCGAAATAAAGATCCGGTGTCCCAAGTCAACCCAACCAGTGTCTCAACATTTCCAGTGACCTCAATCCAACATGGCTGGAAAATCCCCAGGCGTTGCAGATTCCGTATCCCGTCTTCATCCCCAGCAGAGGTCGTCCCGCGAAGGCCGGATGATCTTTGTGATGCGACCCCAGGATGGTCAGGAGAAATCCAGTTGGATAAAAGATGAACCATGGGGGGTTTGCCCCAAATGGTCCATTATCAACCATTATCATCCATTAATGGGCTAGCCCCAAATCATCCATTATCATCCATTATCATTTGGTTGGTGGTTTGGAACATGGCTTTTATTTTTCCATGTGTGTATTAATATATATTGGGAATGTCATCATCCCAACTGACGAACTCATATTTTTCAGAGGGGTAGGTATACCACCAACCAGATTAAAAAGAGAAGTGATGAAATGAGAAGTGAAAGTAAGATATAATTATATGATAATAATTATATTATTACCCCAAAAAAATCATCCATTAAAATTTCTACCAATTCACTAAAACCATTGACAAACCACCCACAAGTGACAGATCAGCCATTGAGATCCACCAGTGGTAAAGTATTGGATTTGGGGGTACCACATTTGATCGATCCCAGGCACATTTGAACTGGCAAGCCACACATGTCTTCGGCGCACAAAAAGAGGACCCAAAAGGCGAAGATGAAGTACTTTTTTTTTGTTTCATTTGTTTCAGTTTTCTGATTGCTGTGACTTGATAAACTTAAGTTTGATATTGTTTTGAGTTTTTCATAGTTGTTCTAATCCCTTCAATTGATGCCTCATGTTCATTTAGCTTATTGAGATATACTCTCTGGTTATTTAACATGGCCATGGTATAGATGCCCCATTTATAGATGGTTTACCTATTAAAAATGGTGATTTCCATGGAAAATCACCATTTTTGATAGGTAAACCATCTATAAATGGACCATTTTCCATGGCTATGTTAAATAACCCGAGGGTATATGTTTCTAGGTCAGTTGCCACCTTGTTTTCCAGATTTCTCCAGGACAAGCCGCCAGGGTTCAAGCCCGTGGTGTGTTTGGTCATCGAACCAGCAGAAGAGGAGACATCCAGGGCCGGAATGGGTGGATGGTTTTGGGACACTTGGCGGTGTCTTGGGTATTTTAGATAAACCATAGAAAACCATAGAAAAACCATAGAAAAACCATAGGAAAATGGGAAAATCATAGGAACACCATAGGAAAATGGAGGTTTACCACATGTGAAATGGATCAATACCTATAGATACCAGCTATTTAGTGGGTTATTCACATCCATAAATCCCAGCTATGACTTGATGTGAACAAAAAAGGGGTACAACATGGGTTTTGACACACTGCCATATAACCATAGAAGAAACTTCCCACATTTAGTTCATTTTAGTTCAATGATCTGCCTAACATAACACAACATAGTAACAATATTATAGCTGACACTGATTGTTAACCACTAGATGTAGCATTTGGTGATTCAACGGTTTGCTGTGCAAAAACAAAAACATTTAATTCAATGATTTGCCATATTTACACCTATCTAACATGGTGATTTTTCCATTGCAAACTGTTTTTTATTGCTAGAGGGCACAAACTGACCTCTTTTCGAGACGCACAGGTGCAGAATGGGTAACAGTATGTGCTGCTACAGTATGTGCTGGTAGACCCCAACCATCACATTCAGTGGCTTGGTTTTTCAGATGTCTGAACTGCTTCAGGAGGAATATCGAGCGACATGGCCTTCGTCGCTGATGCTGATACTTCCTGAAAGCCTGCTCCGAAGTTTCCGTGGAGGGAAGGATTAGTGAGACAGCAGCGGCAGCTAAATACCAACAGGATACCACACAATCCAACAGGAAAATAAAGGAATGGTCGAATTTTGACAATTTTGATCAACACACACATATATCATATATATATATATATTATGTATACATATATAAATATCATATAATATCATATATAATATACATAGCATCATCACATATATATATAGTATATATCGTATATATAGTATATATACTATATATATAGTATATATATAAGGTATATATATATCAAACATTGTGGATGAAGATCCACAAAATCCAGCTATATGGTCAAGGCAATTGCGGCCCTGGCTATGCACGCTGGGCTCGCCTCTCAGTCCGAAATTCGCATTGACTCAGCCATGACATGTTTCAATATGGGGATACCTTAAAATGGCTTCTTAAATGCTGGAAGATTAGAGTAAACCTTGGAAGTCTGAAGTCGATTTATCTCGATTTTTCAGACAAAGCCTGACAAACCTATGTTTTTGGTTTGTCTTGGGTGGATTTGTTGAACCTGAGGTTGTTCAGCAAGTTTGCACAAAATTCTGTTTGGAAGGAGAGCTCCCCAAGATGTCAACCCTTGAGTTTTGTGCGACTTCTAGCCTCCCGCACATCAATCATCGTATCAGCTTTTAAAGTGCAGGAGACCCTACGAATCCACAAAGATTCCAAAGGCCCGCAGCGATACGTCGTCGACACAACATTATACTGCCAGTGCGCGCTGCCATGGGTGACAGGATTTGGATCGTTGATGACACCCTGACAATGTTTTACAGGCTGGATCGACTCAATGCACCATGCCAAGAGAGGGGTCACTTTTGTGGACACTCTGGTAATCTGGTGATTTCTGTGGAGATTGCAAGATTTCAACAACCATCACTGAAGAAACCAAGTTGTTCAAGGCACGGAAGGATGATTTTGGATGATATTTGATGTGCCTTTCCAGGCTAGCTTTGATGGAGAAGTTCGTTGGCTGCGGAAGGCTCCGGAGGCTTCTTCTGGGGGATGTATAGGCCGATAGGCAACGAAATAACAGCCATAGATCAGTCATAGGTGACCGGCCGGTGTGTGCAATCGTCAAGTTTTTGTGTGGGATATCATGGGATCTGATCAATGGTGTCATCCCACCACATCGATGAGGCCTAAAAGGATGAAGTACCGCGTGGCCAATGAAGGTTTGATGTTCATGGAGGCCATGGCTTGTAGCTGTGAAACAACAGCTGTGAATTCTGCCCAGCTGGTGATAGAAATGTAGATGATGCTGTTCTTGAGGCACTGTTGGCTGTCCAAAAACATCATTTCATTGGAAGGCACGAATGCGCAACGCAGCAAGAGTTGAATTCGACAGACACGTGCTTTTCATGTGTCTTAACGGATCTAAAAGGTGCGGGATGTTGGAATGTTCGAGAAATGCACGGAATTATTGGCTCTCCTTGGCTTGCTGTTTCATGTCAACGTATTTTTTGTATCACATAATTCATCATTCATCATAATTTCATATAATTAACATAATTAATACTATTTGCTACTTATGACTTATGATAATGACATTTATATATATATAATTATATATATAACTATAACCTATCTTTTGATTTACTTTTAGGTGTACAGTACACATTGTTGTGGTGTGCTCAGGGCTGCTGTGGCTGGTTTCTTGCGCGATGATGGCACTGCAGTGTGCAAGCGTCGGGAAATCTCAGTGGGGCTGACCAGACCAGGCTGCAGGATCCGTTGTTGGATTTGCTGTACCCAATGGATGGTTAAGAATGATTTAACCAACAAATTTACCAAGAAAAATGGTGGATATATGAATGGTTTACAATAGGGATTCAAGCAACAACAATATGGTGGATATAGGTGGATATTAATGATATATGGGATATAAATGTGGATATAAAACCAACAAACATGGTGATATAAAACCGAGAATAACGGGATCATTAATGGGATCTAATAGGATCTAACGGGCTCCCCTCACAAAGGTGACCTGCACCGGCGATTTTTGTGCAGCCCATCCCCATACTCGTACTAGATGAACTTTAATATGAACTATATATTACTTTAGGCATCACTTTTTTGGATAAATTTTGGTGAGTTTTTGGTCAGTGCGTCTCTTTTTTTTCGTGTTTCAGGGAATGATTGGAAGCTGGATGAGCTTGCCCTCTACAAGGTGGGGCTTTCACAGGATTTTTGTGCTTGGAGATGGTTTATGACCTATAATTGTATCAAAAATTGTGAGAACATTGAAGTTATATTTCATGAGAGTCATAAAGTATGAGAGCCCTCACATGTTGACAATCCTCTTCCTGATTGTGGCATTGTTGATGTATGATGCCTTGGGTTGACTGCCAGGTCGTCATGTTGGACTTGTGCGAACTTTGGCGACTTGGGGTGGAATACATGCCGCAGCTGCAGATGTATGAGGAGTGCGGATGCTGCAAATTCAAAAGTTACACTTGCAACATTTTGCAACCTGCCAGATGGGCTGCCCAGTGAGCTTTATGGGAAGTAAGATTGATATATATGGGGAGAGGCTGGGGGTTCCCCGGAAGACGTAGGAACCTTCAGTCTCTCTCTGATGATATATGCATATTTTGTCGTTCTTGCATACAGATGGGGGGGTGGGGGGATGTTAACGTTCGTTGCATTGCGTCATCAGAAGATGTTGTTACGTTGAAGATCGTTCGTTCTTGCATACAGATGGGGGGGTGGGGGATGCTAACATTCATTGCATTGCGTCATCAGAAGATTACGTTGAAGATGTTGTTACGTTGAAGATGTTGTTACGTTGAATTTCCAAAAAAAACACGCAATTCCCAATGGGAAAAGCAAACAATATATGATATTAGTTGATGAACTTGAAAAAGACAAAACAACATTGAAACAGCGGACAACATATCACAGATATGTTGTCCGCATGCTGAACTAATTCCCGATATTCTCACATTATAGGAAGAACACAAAACACTGTAAAACACAGTGACAAATGACATTTTTCAAACTGGAACACAATGAACTTCAATTGCCTTCCGGGGAACCCCAGCCTCTGCCCTATATACATATTATTATATATATAGATACACATAATATATATATATACACATGCATGATTTCACCCAGCACATCAATGATTCAGGACATTTGCCTGAACCATGATGTGCTTACCAGGGGAGGTGTGGGATGACCGGGATGACGAGTTGTGCAGCACCAGTTAAGTGACGTCGTTGCTGTGTGTCAAAACCAATAGTACCCCTTTTTTGTTCACATCAAAATAGCTGGGATTTATGGATGTTCATCCCACTAAAAATGGTATTTTCATAGGTATTGATTCATAGCCACATCTTTGCTGCCTGCCTTGACAGAGGTCATACGCTCAAGTGTCCTAAGCTCAGAGCTGAAACGCGCGGAGCTCGCATCGGTTGCATTCGAGAGTGACAGCAGGTCAGTGCTACGGTTTTCGAGCAGTACACGCCAAGAAGGCATGGCTAAGAATGGGTCGCAATTCATATTCTTTGATTCGACTCTCAACAGAAACGGATGACAATGCAGCTATTTATAGTGTCTTTCCATCTTTATTTCACTAGCAGCTTTCATGCAGCAGTGTCACCACTGAGACAGTTTGTTCAGGTTTGTTCATGTATGATAACGCTTGGTGTAATCTTTTGCCTCCCCCATGTCTTCCAGGGTGGATGCTTGAAGCAGCGAGATGGACGTTGCTTCCTGAGTCTGTTTGATTTCAGTATGGGCACGGGTGAATGCTGAATACTCTAGCAGAAACAAGCATGTGTACAGTATGATACCCATTTCAACATTTACAACACAAAATGGTGGTAATTAATATCCATGACTATCCCAACATCATACATCAACATCACACGTCAACCATCATTTTGTGGAACATCATACATTATGCATTGGTCGTTGATACATCATACATCTCCCATTCTTTTTCCTTGTCATTATACTACTTATACTACAATTCATCATCGATACTATTTGTTATTGTATTACCATTGGCATTACCATTGATAATAATCAACAATTATGTTGATATTGACAAACACCAACGATAAATTATGTTACAATTTGTTATCAACATCTTAGTGGTTGATATTAGGTTGGTATTCCCAATTATATATGATCATGTATTAGACCATTGTTTCTATTATGATCGACAAATCAATATCATATATATATATATACATGGTCTAACAAACAGTACCATCAACCATTACTATTGCCATTCCTATTGGACCATTACTATTACCATCAATATCACCATCAAACAGTCTAATAATGGTTTATTAATGTTTATTATATACTTGAATAGTACTGTAATATAGTTATGTCTATATATATTTATAATTTATCACCATTTAATTTGATAAATTGTTAATGGTTACCATTCAATTACCAATGGTTTGCAGCATGTTGCTTCCCCATGCCGCCATGGCTTGACCGCCAAGGCCACAAGCCGGGCCAAACGAGGCTCAAGGACCTTGTCCGATGCTGAGGAAAGGAATGACCAAATTAATGGGTGTTCATATGGATTTTATGGTTACACATTTTTTTTTAGTAATACTCAAATTAATGGGTGTTCATATGGATTTTATGGTTACACATGGGTTTAGTATTGTTTAATGTGGTTTATACATGTTTATTCTGTTTGATATTATTTTAATGGATTTGTTTAACATGTTAATGGTTACCCTCTTTGGTCATCAACGATGGTTTGCTGGAAAAAAACACTACGTATTGACGAAAATATCGCATGAAAACACCTCGATTTAGTTCGTGGATGGATTCCAGGCCATGTTTGATGTCATCGGAGGGTAGCAAATCAATATATCAATCTATAGAACAAGAACTAATGATCATTCATAATACTACTGTCACAATACTAATGATAAGATATTAAGATATTAAGTGTGTGTTTTTGAACATTAGGATAGTTCTGTCATGGATGCGATGTGAGGTCCAAAAGACGGCCTTCAGAAGCATGCAGAAAGACAGGCAAAAGGCGTGGCCTCCGATATGGAGGTTTCCATCGGGTACCGCAATAGCTGGATGGTTTATAAGGGAAAATCCTACTAGAATAGATGATTTGGGGTACCCCCATTTTAGGAAACCTCTATATTGTGCGAGGGAGAAGTCCCGATTGGATATTAATTGGGTGGTGACTCTCCATGGAAAATGGTGAGTTGAGCAGGAAAACAGTAGATTCTTGGGACGTATAGTTATGATAGACCCAATGCCACCAACAAAGAAATGCCATTTGAGGGGATGGTTGAAATATGTTGAAATTCCAGCCATTCACGTGAAGTCTTTTGGCTGACTTTGGTCGGCAATTCCTTATCACCCGGCAGCTGTTCCTTCCCGATTACCAGAATCCTTGAAGTTGTTCGCATGCATCACCGCACGAGGATTTTCTCAGGCAGCAGAACGAACAAAAAATGATGGTAATGTATGGTAATGTATGGTAATGTGGGGAAAAAAACAGGGAAAAACGATCATAAACCATCCCCCAGTCATCAGCATTTTCAGAAAGGTGGTATGTTTACCAGTTTACCATTCCCAACGTTGGGTCCCATTCAGCAGGCAGTGCGGGAGCTGCTTCAATAGGCTGGAGCCTTGGAGATCATGAGATCATCCAAAACGGTCCAAGCTGATCTCCTGCGGAATCCAAGGTCAGAGATAAGGAGATGCTCTTCCAGAAGAGAACAACGGTGCGGCAACGTAAAATTTTATGATATTTTGAATGTAATTAAATTGTTGATATCTTAAGACATCCGAAAACTAGAGTAGGTGAGTCATAGTCTATATAATATATACTATATAGAAAATATCAAAACAACCGAAAACTAAAGTCTCAGAGTAGGCCTTGACTCTTGATGGCAAGTTGGGCTGCATTTCTTGAAATTGGAGACAGCATTCCGTGTGTTCCAAAAGGAGCCGAGAAGTGATGCTGCTATCTCTGGAGAAAGGACAGTTGCTGATTTCATTTGGATCAGCCGAGAAGCTTCAAACAGCTGGATGTTACCATCTGGTTATGACTAACAGTTTGCCATGGAAAATCACCATTTTTAATAGGTAAACCATCTATTTCTAGGGGCCATCTATACCATGGCTATGTTAAATAACCAGAGGGTAAAAACAGCTGGGAATTTGTGTTTCCTCACGGGTTGCTATGCCTATGTCCTCAGGAATGTTAAAGATACGGAATCGGTGAAGACGCCCAGTGGAGGAGACAAAAAAAAATGAAGTGCCGCTGTTGTCTTTGTTTTGCTCACTACTGCATGAATCCAGATCATTGGTTGATATTGCTTGAAGGGTAGGTCTTGCAGACCAGTCTAGAAGGAGACTTGAGATAGAATATATAGAATCAGAATCAGTGTGATTTTTCTGTTCACAGATTTTCAAATGTCATGTTTTGCAGCAGAAAGTCAAGGAGACCAAAGTGACGGCGGTGATTCCTTGGAGGCCAGAGCATTCCCAAACATCAAAGAGGGGGGCATTCTGGGGGTTTGGTGTACACCAAGCATCTATTCAATGTCATTCACCATCCATTCAACATCCATTCAACATCCATCAAACATCCATTAAACATCCACATACATCCACGATTCTCACAGGTGCCAACCGCATTTTTTCAGGTTTTGCAGGTGAGCGACAGTGAAGCCGAAACGGAAGCGGAGAAAGCGGATGTGGCTCAGACAGAGGCCATGAGTGCTGCAAAGCTGTAGTGCATTGTGATGGTTTGGCTGAGAGCTTGAATGAAAATTGGCTTCTGTTGGCCCCCAGTATACATAATTGAACATTATTAAACCATATTAAACCCCCATTGGACAACCATGGTTTAATAAGTTTAATGGATCAATGGGGGTTTAACATTATTAAACAATATTAAACCCCCATTCATCCATAATTAAACCATATTAAACCATATTATTAAACATAATTAAACATTATTAAACCCCCATTATAGAAATATACAACATCCATTGATCCATTTGGATCATTTTGGATCTGTTGGATCGACACAGGATACGATGGATACGCAGGGCACCAGCGCCAAAGAGGCTGACTCGGAAGAGGTGCCGAGCGAAATCGCACCCCTCCCGGTTGGTTGATGATTACTATGCGGGTTATACTACGTATGTACTCACTATATGTATATCTATGTATGATACATGGTTAATTATAATATAGGTTGTATACTAAATGATGGTGAATGGGAACCAGTGATACCATCTACCCTCTGGTAAACTAACATAACTATGAAAAATCACTTTTTTCATGGGAAATTCCACTATAAATGGCAATGTTCAATAGCTATGTTAAATTACCAGAGGTTAATCACTCTATGTATATCATATGTATGATACATGGTTAATTATAATCTATTATAATATATACTGTATACTGTAATACTATTTGATACTATGAGAAAATGTGTTATGTCATACTGTGTTAGGCTACCCAGTATACAATAATATTCCCAATATATTTGCATATATATATACTATACAATTAATATTAATGTCTATATAATATATATTCAAGAGCCCATTGAGGTGCCTCAAATGGAGGTATATATAAGACAATTCGCTGTGCCTTTACATATACACCTTAGATATCCTTTTGTTTGTTAGGTACCTCCAATTTGGCTTCCTGAAAGTTCCATTGACAGCGCCAGGATTTGGAGATGTTTCCCAATTCCCAGAGTAAGCCGTTGCTGTGGAGTGTTCCTGCCGTCCCTCGGTTTGAGCCTCAGCGCTCAACTTGTGCCCTGCTTTGTCCATGAAATTCGTGCATCGCTGGCCGGTGCATAGCACATGACGGAGGAAACTATGACCGCAATGAATAGAAATGAGCCGTGCAAAGTGCGCACTTTGCCAATTGGTTTCGTAGATAACGTTCGAGCTGCTGTTTCGAACAGAGCTTCTCAGACTGCGGGTCGCAGAGATCTGGCTGTGTGCCAGAGCAATTGGATGCATTTAAGCTCGTAATTCATCAACCATGGACCACGGGTATTTGGCGACGCGGAGGAAAATGAGATACAACTGACGTCAGAAACAGCATAATGTTCAGCAACGAGGAAAAAAACAATGATTGAGCAAACATAATTCAGAGACAGAACCCTTGTCAAGATCCAAAACAAGGGCAACATGATTGAAGTAAATAATATCACACAACTTCCGAAAGAGCGAAGGGCCGATTCAGTTACTAAAAGAGTCTAGTGAAAGCAGCCTTGCCAGCATTTATACGACGGGAATTTAAGCAGGGAACATGTTTCATTCTAGTTTTGGCTCCCAGCTCACTTGAGACTGCGATTTTGAGCAATGGCGGCACAAAGCAGGTGCAGCCTGTGCAGCCGCACTCTGGCAGAGCGGCATCATGTTTCATCACCGTGGCAGCGTGGCAGGACAGTAGCGGTGCTGTTGTTGGGCCAGCCCCTCAGACGTAGCAGCGATCCGTAGACGTCACTTCTGAAGGCAGAGTTTGGCTGATTGCAAGGTGCCGTGGTCTTGTCGGGCCGAGCCTTTTTGCAGATTTCGCCAAGTGAGCGGACAACGGCCAGCGCCCCTGCGATTCATGCAGAAACCATGGGCCATCATGGGTCTGTCTGAAAATGGCGGGTAATGACATGTAATTACCATGTTGACATAGAAACTGCTATTTTCATGGGAAAAGTGATGATGAACTATGAAATTTCGGGGTACCCATGGGGAGCACGTTTTTCAGACAAACCATGACAAAGCCATGAGACGATGCCTGCATTGCTGTGTATCCACCTGGAGAAAGACAGGTCCATGTCCAGCCACGCTTGCGTGCTGGCTCTGCTGAGTGCTATCCTTGGCTCGGGGTTTAGGCAGAAACCGTTGATCTCTGAAGCTTGCATGCATTAAACAAGGAAACTTGGCCTCAGGGTTGCAGACCATCAAGAGAATATGAATCAGAGAACTGTTAATACTAATTAATTACTAGATATATACGTATATAATCGCATATATATACATACATACATAATATAAATAATAACAGTAGTATGCATGCATGCATGCATGCAGACAGACAGACAGACAGCCAGCTAGCCAGCCAGACAGACAGCCAGCTAGCCAGCCAGACAGACAGCCAGCTAGCCAGCCAGACAGACAGACAGACATACAGACATACATACATACATGCATGCATGCATGCATCCATGCATACATGCATACATGCATACATGCATACATGCATACATGCATACATGCTTATGATGTTGGCTCAGGTGGTCTCAAATAATGATTGTTGTTGTACACTTCTTGGCTGTCTTTGGCCAAGACAGCGGCCAACTTGCGGCCTCGCACGCGAAACGGCGGCGGCTGTAGATAGGGACTTAGAACAGCAAGGGAGTTGGCTGTGCTGTGCCGCTGTGCTCATGACTGGGTAGTGGTTTCATCTTGACAAAAGGGAAGAGAATCCCAACGGTCCCAATTTCTGGTGTGGGTGTCTCAAGCAGATGAACTCGTTTGCTACTTTTTATCATCTATCTACTTTTGCTGTTTGGTTGAATATCTCATGCATCAGAGGCACTCAATGACCAAGGCCGGGGCATGCTTGATTGCAGCAGCTGGGCACAGACCCTAGCTGAAAACACACTCTGGTGGCAGTGAACCGTGGAAATTCTGGGTCCAAGTCAAGTACAGTTAGCAAAGCAATCAGTGAAGTGCTGAAGAATTTTGATGAATTTTGCCCCAAATCACAATCAATCATAATCAATCATAACTCATCATGAATCATAATCATCATACCATCTATTTATGATGTTTGTTGGGTATTATGGGATACATAACCAACATGTGCCTCTCAGCAGTCCAGTAAAAATCGCTATAGGCTGCGATCCCAAAGACGAAGCTCTGGAGTTCCACGACAACTCTTCTTCGGTGGTGGACGTGATCCTTCCCCGGATGATGTGACCAGTAAGGCCTTGCGATCCTGGGATATCTTGGGGAAGTTGGGGAGGACATGGTAGCAACATGTATATATTTGATACCTCCAAATCTGGTACATTCTGGCTGATAGGGTAGAAGTGGGAGAAGGATTGAGAGCTGGCAGGTGTACTTCGACATCAGCATTGGCGGCGAGCCTGCTGGTCGAATTGTTTTTGGCTTGTATGGTCACTGACTCAGTTGAAAAGAGCTGAAGTAGATTTGCTTTGCTTGGCTGATACCACCAGACAGGGGGGGCAATCTAGGACAGCAATGTTCAGAAGCCTTGCAACTTCAAACATAGATCATCTAGATCATCAAGTGTGCGGGATGTTTTCTGAGTCTATGGGAATCGCTATCCAAATCACATATGAGGCGATGTGGTGCCGAAGACAGCTGAAAACTTCCGCCAGCTTTGCCTGAAGGGTCCTGGCGATGGCTACAAAGGTGGCTTGGCAACATGGGTGCGTTTCAAAACTGGGGTACTCTATCCAGAAGAACGGATTCAAAAGGTAGCAGATGGATGCAAATGGTAAGTTGTATATTTTTGAATATTTTTGAAATGGTAAGCCTTTTTCAACCAAAGGATGACTGGAATGTCCTTAGATTTTCGGATCCGATTTACTCTGTTGGCGCTCAGAATGATTCATTGTGGGGGGGTTGTGGGTGTCAAGACTTCAGAATCAACATGAATCAACGGTCATCAACGATTTTTGTTGCGCCAGGATGCCCTTTCCACCGCGTCATCCCAGGCTTCATGTGCCAGGCTCGAAGAAGTTAAACCCACCAGAGGTTTGGGAAACTGTGACATTTCAGGGTGGTGACTTTACCAACATGAACGGAACTGGTGGCCGAAGCATCTATGGTTTCCGCCTCAGCAGGAGTTTGTTTGGGTTGACGACTTCGGATGTGGGGGTCACCAAGGCAACAAATTTGAGGATGAGAACTTTGAGCCAGATTCTTGGGTAACCAGAGTCGCAACTTCCATCAACGCCCACAACAAAGGTCCGTTGGAGTTCCTTTTCTTTTATTTGGCTGAACAACAATGACTAAATCTTCGTCTAGTGATTGCGCAACAGGATGCGTACGAGAATTTGTTGGATTCTGTTGGAAGGTTCATATGTTTGTTTTCACTTGGAAAAGCTCTTTTGTGGAGACCCGGAGACCCTGGTGAGGTTTGGATCACTGTGCTGCGAGTTGCTGTGAGTTCACTGTTCCGCTTGATCATTCACGCAAGGTTCGTCCACAGCAAGTTGGAACCTTGGGGAAAGTCACGAATGGGCTTTCAAGTCTGAAGTGATGACACGACCACTGGCATAGCATTGATGATTTTAAGATGTCCACTAGATTTCAATAGTTCCAATAGATATTCTGACCGGCCGAAAAAAAAAAAAAAACTGACATCCCACTGAAAGAAGGCAGGACAACATGAGATGGAGATAAGCTCACTATTCTTAAGCGGCCTGCAGCATTATTCTTCTTGTTCTTCTTGTTGTTGTCATTGGTTATATATTTGGTTGTTGGTTGTTGTTGATGTTTTTGTTGTAGTTGTTCTAGCAGTTGTTGTTACTGTTGTTGTGTTGTTGCTGCTGTTGTTGTACTGCTGCTGTTGTTGTATTGTTACTGTTACTGTTGTTGTTGTTGTTGTTGTTGTTGTTGTTGTTGTTGTTGTTGTGGTCGTCGTCGTCGTCGTTGTCGTCGTCGTTGTCGTCGTCGTCGTCGTCGTTGTTGTTGTTGTTGTACTGTTACTGTTGTTGTTACTATTGTTGTTGTTGTTGTTGTTGTTGTTGTTGTTGTTGTTGTTGTACTGTTACTGTTGTTGTTACTATTGTTGTTGTTGTTGTTGTTGTACTGTTACTGTTGTTGTATTGTTACTGTTCTCGTATTGTTACTGTTGTTGAATTGTTACTGTTGTTGTATTGTTACTGATGTTGTATTGTTACTGTTGTTGTTACTGCTGCTTTTGTAGTAGTAGTAGTAGTAGTAGTAGTAGTAGTAGTAGTAGTAGTAGTAGTAGTAGTAGTAGTAGTAGTAGTAGTAGTTGTTGTTGTTGTTACTCTTGTTGTTACTCTTGTTGTTACTCTTGTTGTTACTCTTGTTGTTACTCTTGTTGTTACTCTTGTTGTTGTTATTCTTGTTATTGTTACTCTTGTTGTTGCTACTCTTCTTGTGGTTACTCTTCTTGTTGTTGTTACTCTTCTTGTTGTTGTTCTTGTTTTTGTCATTGTTGTTGTTTTTCTCGTTGTTCGTGTTGTTGATATTGTTCTTCTTGTTGTTGTTATTGTTCTTGTTGTTGTTGTTGTTCCTGCTGGTGGTGGTTGCTGTTGTTGTTGGCGCTGTTTGGTTCAGGCCCGGGCTGCTCAGCATGGCGAATGCTGGCCCCAACACCAATGGTTCCCAGTGTAGCTGGCTGATTGACCAAAGATGATGAACCAGACAGAACCACGAAATAGAGATGGGTTTGACTATTTTGACTGAAAGTGCAGTGCCTACCCATGAATCCATGAAAAGTGTTTTTGGGCTGCACTATGTACTATTTTCAGACAAACCCACGACCCCAGAAAAAAACAGATGAGCCCGAACGAGTAATTACTTGGTACTAACAAGCTGGAGACTGGCGGCTCATCTCTAGTTTTTTTTTTTTTTAACTCCACATGTCAGAGACGTCAAATGAAAGTCGTGTTCCGAAGTATTTGAAGGAGTGTATTCAGATTATTCACGGTCAGAGTCAGAGTCAATTATACCATATCTGGCTGGTTTGGAACATTTTTTATTTTTGCATATATTGGGAAGAATAATCCCAACTGACTTTCATATTTTTCTGAGGGGTATATAGGTATACCACCAAGCAGAATATTATATTGACAATATTGACCAATGAATAATACCATTAGTCAATTATACCATATTATAAGAGTATGGTATAATGTTATATTATTGTACACATATTATATACATATTGTTCCATATTATTATACTATTACCCATAGGATCCCTGTATGCTATATATGGTAACATTTACCATCAATATACCCCAGTCATGTTAGCATATATATCATGCCATACATGGATCCTATGGGTTATACTCTTATACACATGTTTCTCTGCGTCACGGACACCACTTGGTCATTTGTTGACCGAAAAAAGTGGCGTGGCAGCGTGGCAGGTTCTTCATCACCGTTGCAGCAACCGATTGGCTCAACGGGAAGCACGTGGTGTTCGGTGAGGTCATGGAAGGCGACCCGACTTACCAGGGGAAACAGAGATATATCAGCCATGTATGTTATAAATGAAATAGTAAATGGTGCAGTAAATGTATAGCACATATGGGTTTTTTAGATTCATTTTAATTTTAACTAGCAGAATTAGCGAACATATGCCAAGTCTATAAACATCTAACAGGGGGTCATAAAAAATGATCTAAAATCATGCATCATCGATGTATTGTGCGTAGTGCATTGGTCATATTCAATGGTCATACTGTTCCCATTACCCTCTGGTAAACTAACATAACTATGGAAAATCACCATTTTTAATGGGAAAACTCACTATAAATGGCCATTTTCAATAGCTATGGTAAAACCATTCGGAATAATTTAAACCTCCATGAATCGTTGGGGGATTTCCTTCAGCGATCGCCACGTTGATTGGTACCGGTTGGGTGTGACGTTGCTCCCCCCAGGCTACGATGTGGTGCAGAAGATGGAGTCCGTTGGAAGTCAGAGCGGTCGGCCTGGGTGACCCAGCGTTGAAACCTGCAGAAATGCATTGATACATTGACTCCAAACATTCAGTGATTGAAGTTGTACACGGCCCCCAGCTATTAAAGACCTATCAAGAACTGGCTAGTGAAGCTTTATTTCGGAATTTCCCATGGAATTTCCCAAAACTTGTTCAAGAGTTCTGGTGGTCACTGTGAATGGTTGGAAGCTATCTCAAAGGTTGTTTAAAGGTCAAATACCTCGATCGCCTTCACCACTTCTGGTTCGCCGAGGACCCGGGCTCAGGTGGTGATCGATGATTCTGGTGAGCTTTAGAGCAGCTTCGGCGAATTCACCAGCGGTGGATGGAAGTTCCGCCTCGACTTTGAAAGGCACAAACGTCCTCCGCTTTGATAGATTTGATATGATTTGATGCCAGCATATGCCGGCAGTAGATATGACTTTTCGACCTGCTATAGCGATAGAATGATATAATTAATTACATATAATTACTAGATATGACTAGGATGTAGGCAGTTTTCAACGATGTGCTGGAGGTGAAAAGAACGAGAGTGCCTGTAAAGAGAGTTTGTGAGACAAAGGAGTGGAAGACTGCCTCAAAGATTGGTTTGTGATGTATGGTGGAATTTTGATAAGATTTGTAGAAGGAGAATTCAGATATATTCAGATTGATGTGTGTCAGCCTTCGTTTGCATGAACTCTCTTCCCGCAGCACATTGCAAGATTTGCAAGTGTCATTTTCACCTGAGTCATTGCGAGCTTTTTGTATCGCTATGGCGGATTTCATGGAGTCAGATGATTATGGCAGTCCTGAGCGTGAAGTTGGAACCATGGGCGACATGCCTTCCGATTTGATCCGTTTCTTGGAACAGTGGATGAGCGCAAGACACCTGGAGGGGCCAGGAAAGTGCGTGCTCATCCAGGACATCCTTGGCGGAGCGGATGTCCTTGGAAGATGGGGTTACACTGAGGGATCAATTGTGGAGGCTGTGAAGGAGAAGGGGCTTCGAAGCCGCTTATGTTGTGATGATCAAGGCCAGAGACTGTGGCTGAGGAATGAGACTGAGCAATTGAGGGTGGTTGTGGAAGATGTTTTGAAACTCCAGCTGATTCCCAACGACATGAGTATAATTGACGTGATGAATCAGGAATTGGTGTCGCATTGGTTGAATGTCTTTGGTGCCACGCTTGCACGAGAGCGCATTGAAAAGATCAAAGAGGCTGTCAGCACTTCTGAACAGGTTGTCCTGATGGGCCCTCGCATTGCTCCAAAGAGTTTCCTCCAGAATGTCCCAAATCAATGCAATGAGGGACCCATGTGGAATATGTATGACCAGTCCACAGTTGGCTACGGCTTCAGTGAAGATTCCGGAAATGACATGGCGCAGATGCCATATTTGGACTCTCAATGGCAAGCTGCGCCCATGACGTGGATGCAGGATGAAGATTCCAACAGTCAGATGCCAGATTCTGAATGTCCGTGAACACCCATGATGTGGATGCACGTTGAAGATTCCAACAATCAGATGCCAGAGTCCGAATGGCAAGCTGCGCCCATGACGTGGATGCAGGATGAAGATTCCAACAATCAGATGCCAGAGTCCGAATGGCAAGCTACGCCCATGATGTGCTTGCTGGTGGATTGTGGGCTGATGGAGAAGCAGAACATGAGGGGTGGATTGAGACCGAGGCGAGCCAGAGGACAGCAGCTTTTAGTTGATGAAGCAGTAGAGATTCTGAACTCGAAGGCATCTGCTTTGGCGGAAGACGGAACCTTGCCGGTAGCCGTTTTGTTTGAGAAGAGCAATTGGTTGAAGATGAGGTTTCGCACACCTGCAGATTTGGCAAGGGCTTTGAGTCATTTTGGTCAGACCTTGATTGTCGACCAACACACGGGCACAGTTCGTTTCTGCACTTTTTTTGAACGTCTCGTGGGTTTGTGCGAGATGCTCTTGAGAGAGCAAAACGGTTCCGTGCTCACTTTGGCGATGGCTGTCAACGTGCCCGCAATGCAGCCTGGAGCCTATGGGCCAATGGTGTGACTTCTTGATCCCTTTTTGCAACGGTTTTGCATTCTTCAATCTTGCAGGGGGTAATTTTTGCAATGAATTTGCACTCAGTGCACTCCATCTCAGCCCATGCCTCCAAGTTGTGCCAAGGTCGCTATTTGCTCAAGAGCAAGAGAAGTCAGACAAGGATTTGGAACAAAAATCTGAGCAGGTTCAAGCCTTGACTGCGATACAAACGTCAGACAATGTCACACGCTTCACTGCGTAAATCAATTCCAGAACTTTTTGATACCGAATCTCGATTGTCCTGCAAAGGCGTGCAATGCTGGAATTAGGATGAATATTATCTATATTATACATGAATTTATAATTTATAATCATCTATATTATATATAATATATTAATATATTAATATGTTATATTAATATGTACTAATTGCATGTGGATGAACATGGTTTGTCTTAAAGTTGGGCCCAACATCCCAAGGGTTTCGCATCAGTTTCCTCCATTAAAACCCCACAGCTCGCAGTGCCAGGTCGAGACGTTGCGATTGGCTTTGGAATACGCTGAGATTCTTCAGGTGATGCCCAGTGATGAAGTGGACACCTCAGTTTTGTGGAGCCATTTGTCGGGGTTTAAGCCACAAAAATGGGGTTGTAAACCAACCAGACTGGGGATGTAATGGAGATTTTTTTTGTGAGATAGAACCAACATGCACCAACACCAGCTGAGTGTGTCTGAAATTTCAATATTTTTTTTGCCTCCCGTGGACATTTTTTTTGGGACAATAATGAGAAACCAGTTCAGATATTCATGATCAGCCATTGGATTTTGGGTTCCCCTATTTTGAGACGCCCCTGCTTATCAAATTTATCAAGTCTTGAAGAGGCATGGCAACTCATCTTGTCCTCAGGGCCAACACTTTCTGGGGTTTTAGCCAGAAAAGGTGAGTTTAGCCAACACATTCGGACCTATTTCCCCTCATGGTTTTCGGGCTGCATAGCGGCCGCTGGTGCTCAGGGCAGAGATTTTGACTTCATCGACTGGCGGTCACCCGCTGAAATTCTGTCGCTTCCTCAGTTTCTGAAAGCCCAGTGAGTTGATGTCATGGGATGTCATGGGGGGTTGAAAAGGGTGACGAATTTCGAATTGCTGATTTCGAATTCTATGATTTTATATGATATTTTATGTATTGATTAGAGATGATATTATAGACATTTATATCATAATGTGGTAAAACCAATGCCATAAACCATCCCGGACCATCCCCAAGTCAAGTGACCGTGTTTTTCTTGGGTTTTTGATGGTTTTTGGCATTGGTTTCACCCATGATTCTGAATAATTATTCACCAGCTTTACTATTAATATCGCTATCAGCAATAGTTGTTAATTATATTCATAGCACTATTGTCAAGAGGTATTAACACCACATTTACATGCATTTACATGCATTTACATGCATTTACATGCATTTACATGCATTTATCACTATTATTGCTGTAACCACTACACTATCAACCACTATTAACGACTATTAACCACTATTAACAACTATTAACAACTATTAACCACTATTAACCACTATTAACCACTATTAACCACTATTTAACCACTATTTAACAACTATTAACCACTATTAACCACTTACTATTACCATCACTAGTACACAAATTACTAATTAATCACTGTCAACCAGTGATGGTACCACCTATTAACCAAGCTATATAATGATTATTATCACTATTACTAATTGGCTCTACCACTACCATTACCCATGACGGATCCATGGTGCTGGTATATATGCTAACATGACTGGGGTATATTGATGGGATCCATGTTACCATATATAGCAGCACCATGGATCCTATGGGTTATGTTCCATATAAATGATTAGTAGTGATAATGGTTAATGATTAGTAATTATCACTACCATTATTACCTCTATCACTATTACTAATCACTAAAGCTACCACTCTTAACCGCTACCAGTAGCTGCTAAACACCAAGGCTTGGGCCCGCAGAGACGGTGCTCTCAAGTCGCTCGGAGGCGCGGTGCGGCCTGGCGCTGCGGCCGCATGTGTGTGAAACGTTTTTTTTTTTTGGGAAACGGGGGCGGCCGGGGGTCACTAACAATGTGTGGTAAGGGAAAATCCCAACAAAAACTGGATGATAACTGGGCGTACCCCTATTTCAGGAAACCTCCATATGTGTGTATGTATGTATGTATATATATATATATAGTCATCCTAAAATAGATAGAATCTCAGGAATTTCAAAAAAAAGGTCCGAAGATAGAATCCCAAAATGGCTGAAGAATCCGGGTCGATAAATCTAGAATGACTAGAATGACCACAAAAAATGTTATTATGCTGGTGTATTAGGTTCTGTATATAGTTACAATATGAAGGTTTCCTAAATTGGGGGTACCCCAACCTTTTTTTTTTAATGGATGTTTTGTAAGGGAAGATCCCAACAAAAACTGGATGATAACTGGGGGTACCCCTATTTCAGGATACCTCCATATGTGTGTATGTAATGTAATGTAATGTAATGTAATGTAATGTAATGTAATGTAATGTAATGTAATGTAATGTAATGTATGTATGTAATGTAATGTATGTAATGTAATGTATGTAATGTAATGTAATGTAATGTAATGTAATGTAATGTAATGTATGTATGTAAATGTAATGTAATGTATGTAATGTAATGTATGTAATGTAATGTAATGTAATGTAATGTAATGTATGTAATGTAATGTATGTAATGTATGTAATGTAATGTATGTAATGTAAATGTAATGTAATGTATGTAATGTATGTAATGTAATGTATGTAATGTAATGTAATGTAATGTAATGTATGTAATGTAATGTAATGTAATGTATGTATGTATATGTATGTAATGTATGTATGTATATGTATGTAATGTATGTAATGTAATGTATGTATGTAATGTAATGTATGTATGTATGTATGTATGTATGTATGTATGTATGTATTAATGTATGTATGTATTAATGTATGTATGTATTAATGTATGTATGTATTAATGTATGTATGAATGTATGTATGGTATGTATTAATGTAGGTATGGTATGTATTAATGTATGTATTATGTATGTATTAATGTATGTAATGTATGTATGTATTAATGTATGTATTAAATGTATGTATTATGTATGTATTAATGTATGTATGTATCTGTATGTAATGTATGTAATGTATGTATGTATGATGTATGATGTATGTATGTATGTATGTATGTATGTATGTATGTATGTATGTATGTATGTATGTATGTATGTATGTATGTATGTATGTATGTATGTATGTATGTATGTATGTATGTATGTATGTATGTATGTATGTATGTATGTACATATATATATATATATATACATGCTGGAACAATCCTTTTTTTGTGAAGGCAGCGTCAGCCAACAAATGGCGTGTCCCATTGATCTTTCCAAAGCTTGGGTATACTGTACTTGGTTATTGCACATGTCATAGATGCCCATTCACCAAGAGACAGGTCGAGTTCTCTGCAGATTTGACAAGATTTGGGTTTGTAAATGAGGTTTCCAAAATACAATGTTTTTCATTATTTCTTCATCAAAACTTTAATTTTGGGCTATACCTCATTTTTAGACAGCCATTTGACGCGTTGGGAGATCCTTCAGGCTTCAAGTGTTGTGGAGGCAGAGGGCGAGGCCGGTCGCAAAAGCCATGTTGGTTGATTAATTAACGATGGTTATAACGTATTATTGTATATGGCTTATATATCAACACAGTATGGGCATGGGTAATGTATATCATATGTCATTATGTGTATATATAGATACATACACATATTATGGGTTATATAGGGGGTGATCATATCAAATATCCTTGCTATGGGTGATATATCATGTGGTTCAATGATGTTTGTGTACTATTCAATCCAATATGTTGATATATGATCTCAGTTATTGGGATTATGATCTATCCAATAATTATAGTGGGATTCTTGGGATTTTTATTGGTATCAACCCATCATGGGTTTATCAATTGTAAACTATCCAATTGATGAGGATAATCCCCATGTATGATGATCCAATCCAATAATCCAATATTAGTTAGGGATTATCCATGATTAATATGATTATCACCATCCATTTTTTTTCAAGATTCTTGAAGAAGGTGAACGCACACATGCACAGACAAACGCCGAGCCCAGCAATTCGTGTGACGGGTCTGGGAAATGACCTGTGTGAAACCTGTGTAAACTGCGCTGTTTTTCCGCGCCAACGGAACCAAAGAAAGAGACATGAGACTCTCATGAGATTGCATTTTTTCTTGTATATGTATGGACTATGTATAGATATTATATGATATTATGTATATTTATCATTATTTATCTATATAATATAGATATGTAGGCGACTGCGTTGCTATACTGTGCTTTGCTGAGTCCTTGCCGACTCGGTGTGTCGGAGGTGTCGCTGGCCCTGCTTTTGGAGGATCCTGTCATTTGTCGAATGCATCAAGCTTAGTGAAATCTGTGGATCTTAATTTCAACAGTCATTCGTATCATTAGTAAATGGATGATACTAATGACTATGAATCAAATAGCCAGATGATACTAATGGATGATATTAATGGATGATATTAATGGATGATACTAATCATTCGTTAATTTCTCATTGATCCAAAATGATCCAAATGACTGTGAATTGATCCTAATTGATCAACATTAGCCAATCAACTAGTCATCAGTGACATTTCCTCTCAAAGTCTTTTTCCTGATGGATGAATTTTCTGGATTGACCGTCAGTGCCGTCTGAAAAAAATGTGCCATCACAGTGTTTATTTATGGGTTGTATTCAGCATTCTCAAATATCTCAAATGGTATGTTTATTGTTGGATATTGTTGGGATTAACACTTTAGCACATTACATGAGATTCGTTGTTTGTTTTGGCTGATACTCCTGTAAAAAAAATTGTCGTTGGGTGGTTGTCACTGCTCCGGACTCTTCGGAGTGGTTTGACCTCCTCGCCAAACCAACGGGCTTTTTCTAAATCCATTACCCATAGAATCCATGGTGCTGCTATATATGGTAACATTATGTAACATTTACCATCAATATACCCCAGTCATGTTAGCATATACCCTCTGGTAAACTAACATAGCTATTGATGCTATTGAAAATGACCATTTATAGTGGATTTTCCCATTAGAAATGGCGATTTTCCATTGCTATGTTAGTTTACCAGAGGGTATTTATATATATATATATATCAGCACCATGGATCCGTCATGGGTGATTGGAACGTATGGGAACGAACCGATCAATCCATGGCAGATGCCAAGGCTGGAACGCGCTGGCATCAATTCCAGCCAGGTCGTCCAGTGTTCGTCGTCAGGTTTCTGATGCTTTCTGGTTTCAAAAACTGGGTTTATAAAAAATATGTTTATTATCATGTTTATGCCTGTTTTACGATATTACTCGTAATTTATAGCCTCTGGTTATTTAACATAGCCATGGAAAATGGCCCATAGAAATAGATGGTTTACCTATTGAACATGGTGATTTTCCATGGCTATGTTAAATAACCAGATGGTAAGTTATTATTTATAAACAAGTTGACCGTTGGATTGACACAGACGGTTGCATCTCCACTCCGACGGTTTTATACACTTTTTGGTCAAGATCATGGCAGCCAAACATCCCATTGACCAACCATTTCGGGTCATTTTACATCATCCCAATCATATATAGTGGTATATACAATTTCAAAACACCTCTATTGGAGGGTTTGGGGGTTACCACATTATTCCAACAACATGGCAATGGGAAATCCCCTACAATATACAGATTTTAATGGCACAATCATGAAATTTTAATGGGCAAAGCGGCAAATCCTCTATAAATGTAGTAGTATTTTCCAGCATGCCATTGCCATGTTTGATTCCGAAAGGGTATTCCATGACATATCCCATTAACCATTGTTCACCCAACAAATTAACCATCATTATGGCATAATGGCTGACAATCATCAAATTTCTGCTCTTCTAAAGATGTTCCGCAGGCCCTTGCCGGCTTGCAAAGCGCCCTGCAGATTTCCCACGACTTCGTCCAAACCGGCCTGTTTAGCATTGGGCGATATTGGGCAGACAGACACCTTCAGGGAGATGGCCCAGCACACTCGTACCTATACAAGCGATGGGAATGGGTGGTGGTCATCCATGAAAATCAGCTAAAAGCCAGGGTTTTGATGGGTTTTGACATGGACCCATGCACATATCAAGATCTAGGAAGAACATGGAAGAACTGGAATTTGATCGCATCTTGGAGGATTGGTTTATGCAGCCACCGGGCCCCTGACCTGAATGATCGACAGTCAGGAACTGGATTCTGCCGGCTTGAGCTGCCGGCGCAAAGGACAGGAGCCAGAGGAGCCAGGCGCACCAAATGGATGGTCAATGCATCACTGGAAGACATGGTGAACTTGACCAATTTGAAAATCCCTGGCAGAGGCAGGTCGGCCCCTGCCCAGCAGGAGGAAGACGCTGAGGTTGGAATTGTCAGCAATGCTCATGAATATCTGAATGTGATTGAATATGTAGTGTAATGAATGTTTTTCTCACGATCATATCCTGGGACTTCCCAAATCCACCATCTGGTGGAATGGCGTGAAACCAATCGTTGGGCATCTCCATTTGTGGAATCTGTTGCCCCATCAACGACGTGCAGGCACCGCGGGGCTATCATAGGCGTCGTGCAGGAGTGATACCGTCTGACAAGGCGCTACTGAATGGCAGACCAGATAGACAAGAACAGGTTTGCGCACATATTTGAAAACTGAGCCTGTTCTGGACGTGCAGGATGCCGTGGAATTGCGCAAGCTCCTTCAGCATTATTTTCAACCTTTCAATCTACAGCACAATCGGGTAACGGGCTGAAACTGTTCTGGCCGATCAGTCTCATTTTTTCGGTTTGAAGCACAATGTGCAGCCAGCAACTAAACGTACGTACTGAGGTGTTGATGATGATGCTGCAGGCATTGCTCACACGCTTTCCAAGACAAGCATGCTAGAAGTACAGTGCATCAGGGATGATTTCGGTTGAGTGGATAGACTACTCCAAATTACGGTGCTGTGGTGTAGTAGTGTATAGAGAGCTTTACAGGCAACTAGAAGCTAAGTTTCCGTTCTTGATAATAGATGTGATGGCTCAAGAGCATCTCCTGGTAGATCTACTCACGACAGACCTACACAGCTCAAACCCAGTACCCGAACAGAACCAACACATTGAGAATTGACCAAAAGAGACTTGGAAGCTGGTGGAACCGTTTTTTGGACTTTTGTTTTGGGAGCCAGAAATCTAACTGGTGCCCAGTTTTTCTCACAGATATGTTTGATGTCAGACCCAACACACTGTTTTCAGATGTTTTCAAGTCTAGTTTGGTTTCTGCGGTCCTCCAGCCTGAACTAGTCATAAAGACGGACTTTGAAACAGCACTTGCGCCATGCAGCCACCTACAGCCATTCCCAAGAAGGCTATTTCGATGCGTTTTGTGTTTTGCCATGGTCAGTGGAAATTTGGATACTATAATGAATAATCAGTAATCACTAAATAATCATTAATCATCAGCAATCACTAAATAACTATAAATGATTAACTTCCATTAACATGGATTATAATAATCTACTGTAATATCCATTATAATAATGATTACTGATAATCTAATAGTGCAGCAGTAGCTCTTGATTTCCATTTTGCAGGGCTATGGACCGGAGACGGCTGCTCAGGCGTGGCTGCATTGATTCAGAAGAGGGATAGCTTCTCAACCACAACGTTCTCGGGAAATATGGGACCATTCAAACATTCAAAACCCACCAATTTATCCTGGATATATCCCAGATGTTCACTTCATGTTTTCCATCATTTTCCCCTATGAAAAGCCACCAATTTCTCCAGGTCAGTCGCCCTCCGCGGCCGTTGTTCAACGCCGGTTTTGAAAAACGTCAGGCCGCGGCCGAGCCCGGCGTTCCCCGGAAGTGCATCAACACGCAGCCTGGCAGACCTGGCAGTGGGGGATAGTCCCCAAAGATATAAAGATCAGCCCGACTGACTGGGATAAGTGATATAAAACATATAAAACTATGTGGGATACCCCCATGATGGATGAGATTGGATGAATATTAACTATATAGATTAAATAATCAGTAATCACTACATTAGATTATCACAATAAAAATAGATATCCATCACTATTAATAGATACCCGGTACATAATTTTAATACCTCAAAAAATCTGATAGTAGTGAGAATCACCCAGATTTTCATAGATTTTCATGGTACCTCATTTACCAGAGCCCAGGGGTAATCCAGGGTCTCCAGGGTGGACCTCACGTGGAATATAGGTCGCTGGAGAGGCTGGGGATGTTCATTGAGGATGACTGGGATGACTATTGAACATGACCCAGTCGAAAATAGTGAGTTTTCCCAGCTATAAACATGGTGGATCTTTCCATCGTTTTTTGGTATATGTTTACCGTTTTTATGGTATCACCCATAATCCAAAAAATGGTGACATGGCGTGCTGGAAGATCCACCAATTATCCATGGTTTACCCTCGGGCAATTGAACGATTTGGAAAATCACCCTCTTTTTCATATAGGTAAATCAACTATCAATAGCCATTGAATCAATAGCTATGATGTTAGTTTACCAGAGGCTCTTGGAGATTCTTCTCACCCATGGATGAGTAGAGAGCTGCGCCTCAAGGCCTCAAGACCTGGAGCTCTTCACAAGGCTGTGATTTTCGCCGAAAAATTCTCCGATCATCAAATGTGGCCATTGGAAATCCCCTTGAAATAGAGGTCTTTTGATGATCTTAGTGGGGAAAATGCCATCGAACGAAATGGGTGAAGTGAAGTTTCATGATTTTTCCAGCACGCCATGTTTGAGAAAATCGGAGGCTAATCATGGGGATTCAGTCCGGACACGCCGCAAAAAGATGATCCCCAATCCCAATAGTGAGGGTTTATTAAGGACTTCTGAAGCACCAAGAACCACTTTCATAAGGGCTTAATTATCCAATTAATTAACCGTCTATCTTTGGCAGGGTCATCTTTGAGGTTTGGTGAAATCCCGATATAGCAAGGGCAATCACCCTTAGCGGCGCCTCGTTCCTTGCCATCACCAGGTCCAAGCTCTGCAATCAGCTGGTGTCCTTTGTGACCGAGCTCGCGGAGGCCGCAAAAGGCCTGCCTTGCGATCCAGCCAGAAAATCCACAGCATCTCCACTAGTCAAGAGCTCATCGCGCCGCAAATTGCACAGAAGTGAATTTAGTTCAGCTTGTGGTGTAGTAAATTGTAGTAATGTAGTCGTGACGTCAATTGACGCTTCAAGTTGAACCATTTGAATCATTTGAAGAAGACGGGCTCCACGATTCTTGAGGTGATGGCTCTCTCTGGCATCCTAGATGAAATGGAGCCGGACCACTCAGATCACTATATATAGCTATCACTCGCAAAAACGTCAGTGCCACTGTCAAATATGATATGTTATTATTATGAATTATTCTGTAATTTTTATGTTATGGTTATGATAAACATGATCAACTTAGGAGTTGGATTGAAGATTTTCCACCACTTCATCAACCGATGCGCTTCGGAAACAAAGCTTTTCGAAGCTGGCGATGACCCCAGTTCGACCCATGGTTCCTCAGATGGTAGCAGAAGAGCTGTGGCCGCCATGCTGGGCCATCGACATTTTCTAGGCATCAAAGACTATGTGAACGCAGTGAAGGTTTGCTTACACAAGCTTTGGGCACTTGCCTCAGTGTCCATGGATAGCATACCATAGCATACCTAGATATTGGGATGATCAGCTGTGTGTGTCTCAAAAATGTGTCGCTTGAGAGATTGGTCCCACATTGGTCCCACGTGATGTTGGGATCCGCCGAGTTCATTCTCATCCGAGTTCCCAGGTCATGCGGCCCCTGAGCATGCCAAAAAGGCGCAAAGCCTCGATGAGATCCGCGGAAAATCCACCGATCAATCACCAGTTCTTTTAAAGACAACTGCCATCACTGGAGGTTATGCCCCCCCAGTTTCATCCATTTTCGGTATATGTATATAATAATATATATATATATATACATGACATATCCCAATCTGTCCACATCACATCCCCAATATGCCATGATTGGTGAATTTACCAGCCCATGGCTGTTTTCAGGCTGAAGCGTTGGCGAAAGAGCTCTCGTACTACTTGCGCGGCGCCTTTGGCGATGAGAGGTGAAGTTCCGCCGGGGGGTCCCGAGTCGGGACGAGCGACGCTCGCGATTGGTGGGATGAAGCCACTGGTTTTGGTGGCCACTGTAGGGAAAAGTGGTATGAACAATGATATACTATACTTTGGGATGTATTGGAATGTATTGGAATGTATTGGAATGTATGTGATATATTTCAATGGTATATAGCATTCAATAGTATTTCCATATGCTAGTCAAGTGGTATTGGAATGTACTATTCAATACTATTCCAGTGGCCACCATTGATTTGAAATATGGAATGTAGTCATATGTAGTCCATTTCATTGATGAGAATTAGAAGAAATGTTATCAATGGATGGACTGGATATTATATATATAGCCTGTTCAGAGAAAAACCATGTGTTTCTTGCACTGTGTGTTCTTGTTTTCGATCACAACCAATGATCACCAACTGAAGCATCTTTATCCTATGGAACTGCAGGCGGATTGACTATGGAACTGGTCATGAAGTGGCATTCCTGGGGGTACTCTTTGCATTGGGAGCGTTCAAGCCTTAGTTATCGTCTCAAAATGGAAAACATGGAAAAATCCATCCACATCATGTTCCCTGCGAAATGGCCATTGTGGGGATACACCAGTATACCATGGCCCATGGTATCCCATGGTATACCATCATGGTATACCATGGTATACCCCATGGTATCAGACACATCCATTTCTTGATGATTCCAAACAGCAAAATCAGGCCTGATGCTTTCTGAATCTTTCTGAGGACAGGCGTGCTAGCGCGTGCAGATGCCGCTGATGCCGTTCTCATCGTCCCTCTCTCAATCCACAAGGATTCCTGGATTGGCTCAGAATAGATATCTCAAAATCAAGATTAATCATGATTAATCTGGTTTGTGCTTTGGAACATTTTTTTCCATATAACAATAATCCCGTTTGATTCATATTTTTCAGAGGGGTTGAAACCACCAACCAGTTCATGGTTTGCTACTATTTTCAACATCAAATTGGCGATCCCATGGCGTGAATCTCTAACTTTGAGCCACCTGGATGACTGGATGCCGTGTCAGAGGTTTTTGCAGACTATATCAGAGTTATGCGGAAACTGCAGAAGGCCAGGCTGTTGCAACTTGGTGGTAGATGAACAGATGAACATCGCCAATATGTTTTTTTTGTATGTGTGCTGATTGATTTGATTGTGCTGTGTGTTTGAATGTGTTTGAGCTGTTGGTGTCCGCTACTGGACTGGTGCATGGGCCAGGTCTATGTCTTGGAACCAGCAGGCCATGATAGCTGAAAGCTTTTCGAAACTGCTGTCCGACGTAAGATTTATGTGGTAAACCCAATCATAGAGCAGCTCCAATGACTCCCCAGAAATCAGTGGAATTGGAGCCCTCCAACATGGATCATCCAATGGTAGGTCTAGGTTTACCATATGATACATACGCCATCTCTGCAGGTTCGCACGGAGTTTGGGGACTAGACGTGTGGGACCCAGAATGGTTTCCGGCATCCTGGGGCCCTGGGCCGACGTGATCCCCACCGGGTGGCAACCTAGGACTATCACATGCTTCCCTTCCTCTTTGGGGCTGCGCAATTGATTGGAAAGGAGGAGGAGGTGGGATATCTATGGATATCTGGGATTTTCCAAGCTTCTAACAAAACCCATCCAATGACCATAGGTCACTATTTCCAGCATATCTTTTGAATGTTTGATCCCTTTGGGAAGAGGATAGCTGTGGATAGCTGAATGCCTCGCAGCCCTGGAGCAGGTCCCCACTGGGGAGGTCTACCGAGAGAAGGCGCCAAAAGAGCAATGGTGGCTTCGATATCTGAACATTTCGGGGTAAAGCGGAAAGCCATGGAAAAGCCAGGAATTTGATGGTCGATCATCATTTTGCCTATTAAAATCTATTAGAGTATTGAAACAATGATAACAGTGGATAAACATGGAGTATTATACGACAGTATACAGTAGACCCCAGTTTTGGACAGACCGAGATTTCAACAAGTCAAACGACCCTCCATTCCAGACAGCAGAATGGAAGAGACACTTCGATGTGATACTGTACTAAAATCACACAGTCGAAGCCTGCCTGATAGATAGTGGAGAAGTATGCTGACCAGTATTTGTATGCCACTTGGATGAAATCAAGAGTCACACTCCTGCCAGTATTTGTGTGTCTGAAAATGGGGTCTACCTCCAAAAAGGCCACTTTTTCTCTGGGGAACATCATGATATGGGATTTCCGGGTACCCCATTTCAAGACTGGCAGCCACATCAACAGCTGCGCAGTGTTTCTTCCCCCACTTTGCGAATGGAACCGAGGTTGATGCCATTCGCCAGGCCGACATATTGTCCGATGTGAATTTTGGCGTCACATAATTTTTCAGGATGGCGCTATAGAGAATCCCAAACACACTTGAACTTGATTCCAGGTACTACTAGACATGTGCTTCGTGTGCTTCAGATGAGATTTGTCCAGGTTTTGCTGGCGAAGAAAGGCGCTCCATTCCATGAGACATCGCCGATGCTGTATGATATCACTTCAGTAGCACACCTAGTCCCATCCCGTCCCAATCCGTGAAGCAAGAAGCATCCATGAGCATCCAGGGGTGTCCACGGCTCTGTCTCCAATTGCCATAAGGTACCAGATTGGCAACGCACGCACGCAGCTGAGTTGTCACGAATTCTCCAGCAGTCCATGTGTAGTCGATGGATCCCGACAACAGAAGCCACGTCCTGTGCTGTGATCCCCAGGTTGGGAGGAATGGTGAAGATGTGGAGGGCGGAGGTCTTGGGGAAGTTCCCAGTCATTCAGCACTTCCTCTTCGGTCCAACCCTGCAATGGCCAGCAAGGGCCTCAGCTTTGTCAGCTGGTGCTTTGTTGGGGAGGCTGACCCTCTGGTAAACTATAGCATAACTATATGGAAAATAACAATCTTCAATACGTATAGGTAAATCAACTATTTCTATGTGCATCTATGTGCCATTTTCATATGTTAAATTACCAGAGGGTAGCTGCTGATTTGAGGCGTGATTGCCTTTGCGCTGTCGAATGAGCAATCCAGAGAGTCACTGTCAGAGTCAGCTTTCCAAAGATGGAAGCTGCTCGAAGCTGCTCTGGTGCTCGCTTCATGGAGATTCAAAAAAGACTCGGTGATACTTGCTGCCCACAAAGACCAGGGAATGTTGAAGCTTCAACCAAAGGGTTTCCTAGCAAACTGTCTGTGGACCACTTCGTTGACAGCAGGCTTCCATTCGAAGATCTCACGGACAATACGCGAGCTGCTCATACCCATGCTCTGCATTTAAGGAATTTGCCGGCATGATTCATCACTTAAATCACTGGAATTATTTACGAACATGTGTTATTATGAATGATTTATTATTATGTATGATGTTATTTTTCTTACTACAACCCATGGTTTTTCCGCATCACATTTGACAGCTGTCCTAGGCCGGCTCTGAGTGGAAGCCATACTTCACCATCAAGGCACGAGCGGCGCATGGCGATCGCACCAGCGTTCCCCAAATGTGCTGAAACAGTGAGTGATATTTATTAAGCGTTCCCCAAATGTGATTGCATAGTGACATCATATAGTGACATAATATAGTGACATAGTGTTTGTCTTAAATGGTTGGAAAAAGTGCTTCCCAAGTCAGTGATTTTCAATCAAGTTGTCAAGTTACTCTCAAGTATTCCGTGACGTCGATGGAATCCGATGACGACCTATGACGACCCATGGGCCGTCGCTGTCATGGAATAGTCTTGTCACTTGGTCAGGACATTTGCCTCATGCCCCGCATCAAAGAAGTCTTGAACCGGTGACTGTTGAAGAATGTTGAAGAAGGGAACCACTTCTCCCTTGAAGCCATCTTTCGAAACAAGGATTTGGGTACCTTGATGAATATTCCGAAGCTTCCAAGATCTTCCAAGTACCAAGAAAAAATATGAAGAAATTGGCAACATTAATATGCTATATATTGCTGCTATATTATGCTATATTCATTGTTTCAAGACTTTTTCCAATTTTTATGGCTACTTGGAGGGTCTGTTCACCTTAAATTCACCGCGGGGACAGAAGAGGTACTGCTTTGACGGTCAGAAGGGCTTGCTGGCTGCGGCTGTTGACGTTGAGGATGAGGTTCGCAGTAGTTCTGGACACTTCTGGACGTGTTATGGCTGTGGCTGATAGCATCTCAAGACAATTGGGGGGTCCTGAAAGGTACACATACCCATAGGATCCATGTATGGTATATATGCCAACATTTGGGGTATATTGATGGTAAATGTTACCATATATAGCATACATGGATCCTATGGGATAGCTGGATGGTTGATAAGATGGAAAATCCGATGACTGAATTTCCTATGAAATTCCTATGAAAATCGATGATCACTGGGGGCGACCATGACTTTGGAAACCTGCCCCAGCCCCAACCTGATGGCTCGCTGAGGAGATGCCAGTTCGCGTGTGCTTCGAGGCAGTGTATCCCATGATATCCCATGAAAAGCAAGACCTGAAAGTATCCAACAGGAGCTCACCACCTGAGAAAACGATAAGAGGAAAAAAAACGATAACGTGATTTTGGGCAATTTAAAAAGATACGGGGTTTTTATACAACCCCACTTATTGATACTTATTGTATCTTATTGTGTTTCTGTGTTTCTTATAAATTTAGTTTTAATGTTGATATCTTTGTTTGTGTTTAATTACTATGTTTTGATCTTCTTCGCTGATAGCGACAGAGACTTGCAATAAAAGTAGCTTATTCTCATAAAATATGTGATATGTTGATGCTTTTTCTAATGACAAAGGACGGCAGCATTTGTTCTTTGACGTCAGGCAAAGGATGCGAAAGGCATGTGCGCTCAAAGGATGCTTTGGTTGGCAACCGAGGTTCCGTTGGATTGACTTGATCAACCCAGTGCAACGATAGAGTGCTTGGATCAACTTCAACCCAGGCTGGAACTGCCGTACACACCAATCTTCCGGTGGTATGCCTAGAATTGGCTAGACTCTGTGCGGTGAGCATTTGGGTACAGTACCTACATGTACCTACTATTTTGCAGATATTATCAATTCGAAGATGTAATATGAATTAATATGAGGCCTGTTGAGGTTACAGATATTGCAATAACATATCATATTTGTGTTACAACACTGACAGATCTTATGGAAATGATAAGATGGTTGTGTCAGTGTTTTGACTTCTTTGGCCATTTCGATCCATTTCGCCATGGCCTGAGGTATTTTCAAACAGCCAGGAGGTTGCGCCGGTTTCGCGAATTGCTGATCCCCACTATACGTCGTTTTTTCGTGGACCTCCATGTCGACTTTATGTGATGCTATTGTAGGCTGTTGTGTTGCTGTTTTGGTCGATGCTGGTTGCATGCCCAAAAATGACTCATGGCATATCCTTTGCGTTGAGCTATGCCAGTGGTTTGTACAAAACAAGATGCGTTTGAACCAACAATCTCGGAACCGACGCTTTGGTGTGTTTGTTTGTGCAATGACGGTTCAATGACGGAGCCAAACGCATGAAATGTCAATGTTCTATATAGAAATATAGAATCCTTTCTATTTTGCAGGTGCTTCCCTTACTAGGCACAGCTTGAGCAACTTCACTGGCAGGTGCAAAGAGGTTCAGGTGCTGCTTGAGCCAAAGATCGATACGAGGCTAAAGGTGGAGGCGGAGAGATTCATCTGACTTTTTTGGATTCAGATTACCCTCTGGTAAACTAACATAGCTATTGAAAATGGCCATAGAAATAGTGGATTTTCCCATTAAAAATGGTGATTTTCCATAGCTATGTTAAATTACCAGAGGGTATGGCATCCACCATCAGCTGAATAGATTTGGATTTGTCAATAGATGGATGAATTAAATAAATTATCACAAATAGTTTTATCAATATTTAACAATATATTTAACAGCTTAGCAGATATTGAGTAACCAAACCGTCAGTGGCACTGGAGCATATTGAGCCGTATTCAAACCTATGAAGACAATGCATTTAACATCATTTAACATCAATTAACATCAATTAACATCAAATAACATCAATTAACATCAAATAACATCAATTAACATCAATTAACATCAATTAACATCAATTAACATCAATTAACATCAATTAACATCAATTAACATCAATTAACATCAATTAACATCAATTAACATCAATTAACATCAATTAACATCAATTAACATCAATTAACATCAATTAACATCAAATAACATCAATTAACATCAATTAACATCAATTAACATCAATTAACATCAATTAACATCAATTAACATCAATTAACATCAATTAACATCAATTAACATCAATTAACATCAATTAACATCAATTAACATCAATTAACATCAATTAACATCAATTAACATCAAATAACATCAATTAACATCAATTAACATCAATTAACATCAATTAACATCAATTAACATCAATTAACATCAATTAACATCAATTAACATCAATTAACATCAATTAACATCAATTAACATCAATTAACATCAATTAACATCAATTAACATCAATTAACATCAAGTAACATCAATTAACATCAATTAACATCAATTAACATCAAGTAACATCAATTAACATCAATTAACATCAATTAACATCAATTAACATCAATTAACATCAATTAACATCAATTAACATCAATTAACATCAATTAACATCAATTAACATCAATTAACATCAATTAACATCAATTAACATCAATTAACATCAATTAACATCAGCAATTAACAGCAATTAACATCAATTAACATCAATTAACATCAATTAACATCAATTAGCATCAATTAACATCAATTAACATCAATTAACATCAATTAACACCAATTAACATCAATTAACATCAATTAACATCAATTAACACAATTCAATTAACATCAATAACATCAATTAACATCAATTAACATCAATTAACATCAATTAACATCAATTAACATCAATTAACATCAATTAACATCAATTAACATCAATTAACATCAATTAACATCAATTAACATCAATTAACATGCAATTAACATCAATTAACATCAATTAACATCAATTAACATCAATTAACATCAATTAACATCAATTAACATCAATTAACATCAATTAACATCAATTAACATCAATTAACATCAATTAACATCAATTAACATCAATTAACATCAATTAACATCATCAATTAACAGCAATTAACATCAATTAACACCAATTAACATCAATTAACATCAATTAACATCAATTAACATCAATTAACATCAATTAACATCAATTAACATCAATTAACATCAATTAACATCAATTAACATCAATTAACATCAATTAACATCAATTAACATCAATTAACATCAATTAACATCAATTAACATCAATTAACATCAATTAACATCAAATTAACATCAATTAACATCAATTAACATCAAATAACATCAATTAACATCAATTAACATCAATTAACATCAATTAACATCAATTAATGACGTCCTGTTTTGATGTGTCACCGCAGGCACTGAGTCCCAAGTCGTTCTTGGTGATGTTCGGTACCAAGACAGTCACCGATCTCGATGCCGGCGTGGGATACCCCAAGTTTTTTTATCACATTGCCATTTTGAATCATAACATAATATATATATATATGGTGATCGATCTAAAGGTCCTTATGTATAATATAACATAATATAACTAATATATATATATATACATATAATCATATATATATATGTCTATATATACATTCATAATGGCATACATATATAATATTATCAATTCCTTGATCTACATCAAATAGTGGGGAACATCATGGAACATGGTCGGCCAAGGTCCTACTCTGTCTCCTCAGACTTGTCGTATTGCGGTTCACCCAAAGCCGACGAGCTCATTGAGGCGCGTACGTCGACGTCGTCGTGAAATGTGGTGTTCGGGTTGGGGATGGTTCAGGTCCCTGGTCACCTTTTAAGACGAGTTGTGGAGCATCATAGAGCATTCTTGATACCCCATAGGATCCATGTATGCTATATATGGTAACATTTACCATCAATATACCCCCAATGTTAGCATATATACCATACATGGATCCTATGGGTCATAGAGCATTCTTGATACTACAACTTCTACTCTCTCGGACATTCGTCTCAAAGTCACGCGAACGTGTGAGACCGGTGCGCACGCCGACGAGTATTTCGTGAGCGTACGGACCGTTGCTGTAAATTAATTAAATGCAGGCACCCGCAAAGAAGACAGACGCGGGGCATACGTGAATTGAGCAGCATCAAAAACATCCATAAAGGGATTTAGTATTCGGGTTCATGTAGGGAACCTTCCGCGAAAGCAAAACCTCCAGGCGCGAAAGCCGTGCGAAAGCTCCGCGAAAGGAGTGCGCCAAGGTCACGCCGCGAAAGCGGCCGCGAAAGCAGATGACTAGTGTAACATCATTTACGACGAATATTTTCCGCGAAAGCCGCCGCGAAAGATATTGCGAAAAAAATCCCGCCGCGAAAGCCAAAACTGTGCGCGCGAAAGCACCGCGAAAGCCGTCGCGAAAGCTTTTCTATAGTAGAACCAGATCGCTACCCGGTTTACGACGCCGCTCAATTGGGCAGACAGGTCCACTACAACTTCTACTAAAATATATGCCCCCAAAACCATTAAACACTGGCAACATTGATCATTTTTGAGAGGGAAAGCGCTGGTTTGGGGATGGAAACAATCCATTTCAAGCTTAGGACTGAGAGATCATGATTCATACTGATCCCATGGAACACCACATCATTTATGAGTGTTCAAAAACCATTATATAGTGATAATCAATACTGTAGCAGTTAGTATATTGACTGATATAACTTATAACCAACATCGCTACTATTATTCTTCGACTTATGTTTTGCTAAATCACTGATACATACAGTATATCGTTTATGTAATATGTTACTAGTAGTTAAGAAACCATAAACAATTTTTATTTAGTTTGGCTATTCACGTGTTACTATATACCAAATTTGTTTCGTATATGTTGTATTTGTTTGTTGCTTGTTTGTTACTAGTAGTGGTTTAGAAAAACAGATCTCCAGGTCACAGAAACCCATGGGCAGGCGACGGCCAGAGGAGACTTGGATCCAAATGTCGAAGCCTCGGCGGTGGAGAGACGAGAGCAACATATGATGATTATGGCAGATACCCTCTGATTATTTAACATAATTATACTTTATATAAAATATTGTGTAATAAATATATTATATTTATTATATCAAAAAGTGGGGAGTGGACATCGGATGTTCGAATTTGTTCGAACACATTCGCAACCGCTAGGGGACCACCCACTTACCGATACCCACTTTTTACACATAGCATGGAAGTACAAACTTTCACAACCGATAGGGGACCACCCGCGGGTAGCAAGTAATGTTGCCCGCCACTCATATGGTTAAGCGCTAGTATTGGGCGTCAGTTTTTGCGTTTGTTTTTCTGCCAGATATGTTTTGGTGCCACCCCGAAGCCACACTATATATAATTATATATATATATATATTATATGGCCCATTTATAGATGATTTATGGTTTTTATCTTATAAATGATGATGTATGATGCTTATGGCATGTATATATATATATATATTTAGAGTAATCATCACTAATACCATCTAATACCCAAACAGATTAATCGCGCTGGGATTCTAATATCCATTCACTAATATGATTATGGCAGATGAATAATTATACTTTATATAAAATATTGTGTAATAAATATATTATATTTATTATATCAAAAAGTGGGGAGTGGACATCGGATGTTCGAATTTGTTCGAACACATTCGCAACCGCTAGGGGACCACCCACTTACCGATACCCACTTTTTACACATAGCATGGAAGTACAAACTTTCACAACCGATAGGGGACCACCCGCGGGTAGCAAGTAATGTTGCCCGCCACTCATATGGTTAAGCGCTAGTATTGGGCGTCAGTTTTTGCGTTTGTTTTTCTGCCAGATATGTTTTGGTGCCACCCCGAAGCCACACTATATATAATTATATATATATATTATATGGCCCATTTATAGATGATTTATGGTTTTTATCTTATAAATGATGATGTATGATGCTTATGGCATGTATATATATATATTTAGAGTAATCATCACTAATACCATCTAATACCCAAACAGATTAATCGCGCTGGGATTCTAATATCCATTCACTAATATGATTATGGCAGATGAATGAATATATATATATATATATTATATAATATATATATAGTATTATATAGTATATTATATACTAATTCCCCCACAGATGGAAAAGCAAATGTCATCACTCTTTTAGGTTCGGATTTCACTCTTCTTTTTTTGTGGGGTGACTAGAATGGGATATTATCACAATGGGCTATATGAGATACACGATAGCATATATACATATATAGGAAATTATTGAGTTATGTATTATTGGGATATGTATAGTTCAATCTACAAGATCTGGTCTCGAGAAAACATATTTGGCCATGTATGTATTGGATACAATTGGGACTCGCCATTTTACAACTTTGGAATATGTGCCGGCTTTCAAATATTATCGTGTTCACCCATAGATGTTGGGATATGCTGACATGATGCTCCCCAATGACCCAATGACTATCAATGTGTATTAATGTTACATATCATTATATACCATCATATTGTATACAGAATCTAGGATCAAAGTGTTGCAAGACATGTTCGTCATGTATGCATTATGATCTGTTGTAGATGTGCCTGGCGTGCCTTCCTAGCACAGATTCACTTAAATTCAGCTGCTTCGAAAGAGGCGCTCTTTTGGGAGACTCGTTTGCAGAAGATCAAGCGTCAGCTGTTCCCCTGGCTTGTTTACATTTAAACAGCTTGTTCCTGAAAGAAGAGGCTGAATTTTGATAAATTTGAATTGGGTTGTCTCTTGCATCCAACATTCTGGCATGGGCGGGAAAATCAATGGCCATTTCAGGAACATAAACTGGAGATACCTATGTAAGGGAATATCCCCACAAAATATGGCCTTATATGGTACAGTACCTCAGTACCTCCATTTTAGGATCCTGGAATTCCCATTGAGAAAAGGTGACGTGACTTTCTCAGATCGCTGAGCACAGGCTTTGGCACGCAGCAGACATCATTTGCGCAAGCTGCCCAGTGGTTCTCCATGGGGCAATGTTTGAGGGATTCTACGTCATTTTACGGGACTAGTCCACCCTGGGCAACTAGATGATACTACCCTCTGGTAATTTGTTACATAGCTATTGAAAATGCCCATGAAAAATGGTGATTTTCCATAGTTTTTGGTATGTTTACCAGAGGGTAGATGGGTAGATGATACTAGTCCATCGAAGCTGTCGAATGCCAGTTTAACAGCGATATCCCGAGGTGCAAGGCATTCACAGCGTGGGCGAACGCGCACGGTGCAGTGAGACCAACACGCGGTGGTTCAGTGAGGGGCTCAAGGGAAAAGCCATGACCTGTCGTGTAGCCCTCCCTGAAATAATTTCATGCAATTTCAACCAATATCTGGTTGGGGGTTTGGAACATTTATATGATTTTTCCATATATTCGACATAATATTCCCAACTGACTTTCATATTTTTGAGAGGGGTTGAAACCACCAACCAGAATATTAATTAACTGATGTTAATGTTAGCTGGGAAAATACTGGGAAAGTGATCAGTTAACTGATGTTAACTGGGAAGGTGATCATTGAGTGGATGATAGTGGATGGATGTGGATGGAACGGTGCACCGTGAACTGTTTTGTGACGCTCACATGCGAGTGAGCTCTGTTCCTGAATGACACCCTTGAAACCGTGAGGCTCCTACAGTTACAATGATCCTACGGTGCTCATGCCTTAGAAGCTCTACTTTCTGTTTTTTTTTTTTGTGAATCCAGTTGCAATATGATGGCGCTTCAGGAATCACTTGGCGTCCCTCTACCGTGAGTTGGCAAAGAAGAATTACGGTCGCATGCTGACATTCGGCAATCCAAAGGGGACGTTGATGACAGTTTTGGAATCCTTTGCAGTGCATGTGCCAGCTGATGAGCGACATTGCAGAGACTTGACTCTGGAGGTGTTGTTTTCATGCCCACGCTGAAGCAGCCTGGTAGTGCACAGATTCACTGCGGCAATGCAGTGTCTTGACCGAAAGTGCGAACGTATTTTGCAGCACTGTCGGCAGGTCATCCAATCTCTGCAAAACAGTGGAGCAGCCTAACTGTTGCAAACTGTTAATTGTGGATGGTTATAATTATAATACATCTTCCTTCAAATTTCAGCTACGTAAAGGGGAGGACTTGGGCTACAGTACAGATTGCCAGCCAGGGGTCGTTTTGTACAAGAAAGTGGAGTTGGGACCACCTTTTTGTATTTGCATTCATTTTGTAGTTGATTCCTTTCAAATCCTTATTTGTATTTTGTAGTTGTATATGTTGAGTTAGTTGAAGCATCCAACATAAAATATCATTTGCATTTTGTAGTTGTACAGGTTGAATAGTTGAAGCATCCAACATAAACAGTGCGTGACATGTACATGGACAAAAACAGATCATGAAACTACAGAATGCTATGTAACAAACTGCACGGGGTCAACACTTGATCCAATTAAGTTCAATCATTGACAACTACAAAATGTCTTCTGAAATTATGTTGGTCGGAACTTTGGATGGCATAGACCCAACTACAAGATGTCATTGGGACAAATCATGTTAGCAAATCCGATTTTCAGTTTTTTTTTCTGACTTCAGATGCATTGGTTTTTGTAGTTGTAGTGCATATTTTGAATTATTTTCCGAATCAGATCAAGTTGTGTTCTGAACCCTGATATATATACATGTTATGTGTATAATTGTGTATGTATACTGCATACAGTTTATATATATATTATACATATTATACATATATATATATATTATATATAATTATACATTGCAATGACTATGGTACGTTATATTATTCACAATATTGTTGTGTTCTAAGGGTAATGGCGTTCTGGTACGTGGCTATAGACAATGTATGACTCCCTGAAATCAGCAATCAGCAGACTCTGATGGCAGTTGCACTGCTGAAGGCCAGGGAAAATGCCGGGTACATTGATTTGGGTCTGAAACGCATGGGGCATCCATCAATTGTCATTAATTATTATATCATTATGTTATTTTTTAAACTTAAAAAGATCCCATTGGCAGTTATTCTTGAAACCTATGAGTATAATTATTGTTAGTTGTTCGTATCTGATATTTTTTAGTACATACCATGGTCTATCAAAAAAAACATTCACATCGCCATCAATTTGGGTTTTTTCCAGGCATTTTTTTGGGCCAAGTCCACAAGCGGAGTCCGAGCCAAGGTCTTTTGGAAGCGGACTCGATGGCAGGCCCATGATCCTGATGATCCTGAAATGTCCCCCAAGTTACAGCAATGATATATTATGGCATTCATGGAAATTTACCATTGTGGCATTTACCCATGGTAACAATGAAATATCCCATTAATTATGGCATTCATGGCATCATTAATGGTTAACAATGAAATATCCCATGATGGTTTGTTAACCATTGTTCACCGAATAAAAAACAAAGCATCATGGGATATTTCATCACCAACCACTATGACATTATGGTAAAAATTTTCACATGGCTTGAAACCACCCACTGACCATTCTCATTTGGTCAGATGGAGCGCTACTGGGATGCTGGCAAAGGTGCACTTTGTGTGGAGTCCACTTCTCAGAGCATTTTGCCCATTAGAATGTAGAATGGAGCTGTCCTCAAGGATGGATGTGTTTTTCCCACTGGTCATTGAAAGAACTATGAACATCATGGAAAAAAAATGATGATGTTCTAGATTCTAAACCAATAAACCAATCTAAACCATCATTTCCCCATCATTTTCCCTGTCATTTTCCCAGCGATTTTCCCTGTTTCAGGCTCACCTCGAAGCTGCAGGGCCCTGACGTCTTGGTCTGCTGCAGCAGGGCGGGCAACGTCTACGCGGAAGAATGGGGTGCGCCGTTATGCGCCGTTCCCGTTACCGTTGCGCGGCGATGGGATCGGAGGAAAACTGATATGACAATAAGACATGTTAAACTGATTCTTTTCAGAACTTTCAATGGTAACTCAAGTAGCACATTTGATGACATAAATGATACATTCACCATCATTTACCACATTGTGATTCAGATTTTGTTCATGTTCACCTTTCTTTTTAACCATATTTGAGTGATGAAGATCCAAGATGTCTTCACCGACCAAGAGCTTGCGATGGAGCTGGACCAGCACTGATCGGCGCCAGGCAAAAACTTCAGCAATGAAGAATTGATAACGCAGCCTGAGCCTGAAGAAGCCCAGGGTCATCCATTAGAATGGTCGAAACGAAGGGCGAAGTCAGCACTGTGGTTGATATTGGCTGATGTTATAACCCATAGGATCCATGTATGGTATATATGCTAACATTTGGGGTATATTGATGGTAAATGTTACCATATATAGCAGCACCATGGATCCTATGGGTAACTAAGCACCATTTTTGCATCCGTTCGACCAGGAATGTCAAGGAACGGCAGGGATTTCGGAGCCTCACTTTTTAGTCGACCAGCTACGACCAGCATTGCAGGCTGATTCCAGCGCAACGTGCGTTGCTGCACCACTGTGGCAAGAGATCGCTGAGGCCTTTGTTAAATTGTAGAGCTTCTAACTTCTGTTGAATGCTGTGATATGGTGAGATGTTGATGATATGATGCAAACATGTCTTATCCTTGTACTTCAGATTAGCTCTCACAATTAATATCATTATGTGTTTACAGTTTTAGGGCTACACAGGACTCAGAATATGTTGATATATAATCATATAATTGTATAATGTTATCGACTGATTAGTGTGAGGGCCCCCCCCAAACAATTTTAGTCTACTCAATAACTGACCATTTTTTTGCGCACCCCCCCCTCAACATTTTTTTGAATTGATTTCAATTTACTTTCAATTGAAATCAATTTACTTTCAATTGATTTCAATTTAATTAATTAATTAATTAATTACTTTCAATTGAAATCAATTTAGTTTCAATTGATTTCAATTTATTTTCAATTGATTTCAGTCTACTTGAAATTGATTTCAATTTACTTTCAATTTACTTTCAATTGATTTCAATTTACTGTTAATTGATTTCAATTTACTTTTAATTGATTTCAATTTACTTGCAATTTACTTTCAATTGATTTCAATTTACTTTCAATTTACTTTCAATTGATTTCAATTTATTTTCAATTGATTTCAATTTATTTTCAATTGATTTCAATTTACTTTCAATCCCATAAGTTGTTGGGCACAATAGAGTACCATCCAAACATTCATATTATTGAGTAACTCAGCCACTCATGGGGTACCACCTTGAAAAATTGTCTGGATGCTGGTTTTTAATAAGGGTTTAATAAGGCATCTAATTATTTGGAAAACCTTGCATTTTAAAGCTTTAATACAAATATGGTTTCCTAAAGTAAATGGACCAGCTTTACTCAAAGAAAGGTGGAGAAATGTTTTTTTCCAACCCCAAAAGTTGTTGGGCACAATAGAGTACCATCCAAACATTCATATTATTGAGTAACTCAGCCACTCATGGGGTACCACCTTGAAAAATTGTTTGGGTGCTGTTTTTTAATAAGGGTTTAATAAGGCATCTCATTATTTGGAAAACCTTGCATTTTAAAGTTTTATCACAAATATGGTTTCCTAAAGTAAATGGACCAGCTTTACTCAAAGAAAGGTGGAGAAAGGGTTTTTGTTTTTTTTTTCAACCCCAAAAGTTGTTGGGCACAATAGAGTACCATCCAAACATTCATATTATTGAGTAACTCAGCCACTCATGGGGTACCACCTTGAAAAATTGTCTGGGTGCTGTTTTTTAATAAGGGTTTAATAAGGCATCTAATTATTTGGAAAACCTTGCATTTTAAAGCTTTATCACAAATATGGTTTCCTAAAGTAAATGGACCAGCTTTACTCAAAGAAAGGTAGAGAAAGGGTTTTTGCTTTTTTTTCAACACCAAAAATTGTTGGGCACAATAGAGTACCATCCAAACATTCATATTATTGAGTAACTCAGCCATTCATGGTTTTTTCAGACATCTAATTATTTGGAAAAGGTTGGATCTTCAAGCTTTAACACAAGTATGGCTTTCTAAAGTAAATGGACCAGCTTTACTCAAAGAAAGGTGGAGAAATGGTTTTTGTTTTTTTCAGCCCCAAAAGTTGTTGGGCACAATAGAGTACCATCCAAACATTCATATTATTGAGTAACTCAGCCACTCATGGGGTACCACCTTGAAAAATTGTTTGGGTGCTGTTTTTAAATAAGGGCTTAATAAGGCATCTAATTATTTGGAAAACCTTGCATTTTGAAGCTTTATCACAAATATGGTTTCCTAAAGTAAATGGACCAGCTTTACTCAAAGAAAGGTGGAGAAAGGGTTTTTGTTTTTTTTTTCAACACCAAAAATTGCTGGGCACAATAGAGTACCATCCAAACATTCATATTATTGAGTAACTCAGCCATTCATGGTTTTTTCAGACATCTAATTATTTGGAACAGGTTGGTTCTTCAAGCTTTAACACAATTATGGCTTTCTAAAGTAAATGGACCAGCTTTACTCAAAGAAAGGTGGAGAAATGGTTTTGGATTTTTTTCAACCCCAAAAGTTGTTGGGCACAATAGAGTACCATCCAAACATTCATATTATTGAGTAACTCAGCCACTCATGGGGTACCACCTTGAAAAATTGTCTGGATGCTGTTTTTCAATAAGGGTTTAATAAGGCATCTAATTATTTGGAAAACCTTGCATTTTAAAACTTTATCACAAATATTGCTTTCTAAAGTAAATGGACCAGCTTTACTCAAGGAAAGGTGGAGAAAGGGTTTTTGTTTTTTTTCAACCCCAAAAGTTGTTGGGCACAATAGAGTACCATCCAAACATTCATATTATTGAGTAACTCAGCCACTCATGGGGTACCACCTTGAAAAATTGTCTGGATGCTGTTTTTTAATACGGGTTTAATAAGGCATCTAATTATTTGGAAAACCTTGCATTTTAAAGCTTTAATACAAATATGGTTTCCTAAAGTAAATGGACCAGCTTTACTCAAAGAAAGGTTGGGAAAGGGTTTTTATTTTTTTTCAACCCCAAAAGTTGCTTGGCACAATAGAGTACCATCCAAATATTCATATTATTGAGTAACTCAGCCACTCATGGGGTACCACCTTGAAAAATTGTCTGGATGCTGTTTTTTAATAAGGGTTTAATAAGGCATCTAATTATTTGGAAAACCTTGCATTTTAAAACTTTATCACAAATATTGCTTTCTAAAGTAAATGGACCAGCTTTACTCAAAGAAAGGTGGAGAAAGGGTTTTGGATTTTTTTCAACCCCAAAAGTTGCTGGGCACAATAGAGTACCATCCAAACATTCATATTATTGAGTAACTCAGCCACTCATGGGGTACCACCTTGAAAAATTGTCTGGATGCTGTTTTTTAATAAGGGTTAATGAGGCATCTTCTTATTTGGAAAAAAATAAATTCAAAAATAATTAATTAATTAATTAGAAACATTTTTTTAAACAAAAAAAAAATCTGGAAAAACATTTGCCACAATAGAGGCCCCCCCCACCAAACAGCAGGTTACTGAATAAGGAGGAAAAAGTTTGCCACAATAGAGTACCATGCTACTAATCAGGTGCCAACATTATAATGAATTTGTAATTGGTTGTGTAAGCATGTCTAAGGATGTACAAGGGGGATATTCAAACAGCACACATATGGTGTATAAGGGGGGTATTCAAACAGCACAAATAGGGATTTTGCTTTAGTGATGTTGCTATATGTTGCTCACAAAAGTCAAGGTTGAACCAACAAACAAGGTGGCATCATGGCGTATTATGTGGACACAATGGCAGTATACTGAAGACAATCACAACGACGTCAACGTGTAAAGGATGGTTAGGGAATCATCCCAGCATGGTTAGGTCGCAAAACCTTCCAAGGGGATCCAACAAACAAAGGGGTTGATGGTGGATTTCTGATAGGAAAGTTGGGGTTTGTAAGGATATCCAAGCGGCTGGTGTTAGCATCGAAAAATTGGAGTGCTTGAACTCCACAATCTTTGTGAACTAGCTAAAATAATGGGAATGATAGGGTATAGCCGTATAGCCGGGATACCCTTTGGTAATCGAACATGGCCAGCTGGAAAATGTTCCAGAAAAAGTTCGATGATGTTCCTAATGAAACATCCATTTACTTTGGGGATTGCCCAGCCACGTGGCTGGTTATCCTATTACATGCCCATATATATCATATATTCGCGCATATTTTACGTCCCATGAATTTTCACTGAAAGAAATCCTATTACATGTCCCTATTAAATCCCATTAAATATATTTCTTGATGGATGTTGATGGTTAAAGCTCCATTGTCGTTGCACAAGCCATCCTATTGTGATGACGGCTATCCCATTGGATGATCACAGCTGTCCATGGTTAGTAGCCTGACATGCACGCGACATACAAATGTTGACGACATACCGATACAATTCATCGGTGTTTCAAGGATGTGTTTTTTTAACAGATGCCATGTTTGTCAGATTCCGTCAGCAGGGTGATGATGGGTGATGCAGAAATCCTTGAGTAGGATGATTTACCCTCCGGTAATCAGAGATGGTGATATGGCTTTTGTTAAATCCTCTATAAATGGAGGTTTCTACCTGGAAAAATCATCGAACTAATCACGGGATTGTTCATTGCCATGTTTGATGAAACCAGAGGGTATATGATGGACCGTAGATTTTGGTCATGCTCACGGTAAGCAGTTTGCTATGACAAAGAATTAGAAAAATGTTCGAACTAAATATGTCATCTATATCATAGCTCTGTAACAAATCACCATAGGCTGTTTTCCCGTAGCTTTCCATATGTTCCAATATATTCGCAGAGTTTCTGGTTGCGCTTTGCATGGCTGGGAGTACAATTCAAGAGGTTGCCGACTCGTTTGAACTCGAAAGGTGAGCGTTTTGGCTGTTGGTTTTGCCTATCAGGATGCAATTATTTGCAGCATATTTATCATTGGCATATTTACGTTTATTGCCATTGTGATGACATTAGTGTTAATGTTCAGAATATTGAACCATTTTCAAATACAGAATATGTTTGTGTATATATATATATATATATGTATATATATATGTGTATATATATATGTGTATACATATATATATATATATATTCATATGTCATTTTATTTTTTAAATGTATCATCATCATCATCCATCATCATCCATCTAAGCTATGTCCAAACATATTATATGATCAGCGCGTGCCCAGGAACATTTGCTGGTCATCAACTTGGAGGGTGAAGGCCGGCGAAGCGGAGGAAATTTACACCCGGGGACTCCGGGGACTCATGGATCCCACAAAACATGGAGGAAAAAGCCAGGAACTTTGGGAACGTCATGGGAAAATCATGGGAAATGACCCAGTGTAAACCAGGAAAATCGTGGGATGAGCATAGTTTAAAGTGTCTTTTGTTCCTTATCTTTTGACATGAATGAGGGAATATCATGCCCTGTTTATCTTCAGAGAAAAAACATCAACAAAAACATGAACATTTAGTATTAGCTATGGATTGATACTTGTTTGATAAACCATTTGGACCCGTTTCGAGTGGCATGCCGTATCATGGTCAATTTTTAGACAAGCCCCTACTTTGATGGCCCGCGGAGTGAGTTTACTTGTTTGTAACGGGGTTATATATACCCTTATAACTTGTAGCTATGTCAATGATTTAAAGCCAACTTTTCATCACCAGTACCAGTTGACGCAACCATGGCCATGTAAGACACAGCACACTGCTGCGACCTTGTCCACCTGGTCAACGGCTTAGATCCCAAACGTTGCTAACGTTCACTCCGTATGTTCATTTGTTAAATCCCCAGTCTTGTTGGTTAAACGTGCTTAAACGGCCAGTTGAGGACCTGAAGTGAAAATCTTTCGTACATCTCAATGATACATCATTCGACCCCATGAGTTTCCCCCTTTTTGGGTGACAGTGCCAGTTTGTGTTTGGTAAATCCCCATGGTTGCTACGTGAAGTTCCCCTTTTTTGAGTGCTTCAGGGGGCCAAGCCCGAAGAGATCACATCTACCGGGAGTTCGAAAAAGTGGGATTGGAAGGACGGGGCAATTCCTGGTAGATTATGGGATAGTAATGGTTAGTATGATGATATTATAAATTCATTTAAATCCATGTAAATCCACTGTTTTGGGAATGTTTTGGGAACATGTGGGATGGCACTATAAGATTGCAATTGTCCAAGCATATATTTCCAGGATGGGATAATAGTATGATGGGAATATACTTGGAACACACACACACATATATATCATATATATATATATATATTTAATTATATGTACTTGAGATATAGCTGGACTATTCATACGATGGATCCCAATGATAGTGGTAAAAAATTACTTTGGAATAACCGAGCAAGGGAGCACTCAAGGCCCACCTGCGGAAGTCCAATGCAATGGCTCTGAAGGCCCTCTAGAAAGTTTCTCACTGTTGAATTCTATACCAACCAGGTGACCAGACTCGTCCTTGGCCAAGAAAAAGTAACATAGACCCTAAAAATAGGTATGATTTTCAGTGGACACTGATCTGTTAACCCCTGGCCGGGTCTATGTTAATTTGGAGGGTATCATAGACCATCTCCATGTGAATGCACAAGTGCGGCTGCTGGTGCGGCAGGACGTTTTCGCTTCTGGCCTGCCATCAACTTCAAGAATAGCACCCGATTAGCGAAGGAAACCAACCGCAAGGAGTGTCTTGGACCTTTGATGCGCTGAGTCTTTTTTAAGTGACCAGTGTCCATTTGACCCTCGGCTGACTGTGAAACATGGGGTTGGTTTTATATTATATAAACCTCATCACTTGGGGGATTAGAAAAAAGTGGGGTATCCGAATCTATTTATGAAATACCATTACCACTACATATTTAGGTACCATTACCATGGTAATGGTATCCGAATTTATTTAGGTAAAGGTACCCAGCTGTTCCATTACCATGTTGTGCCATGGGGCCCTTGAATGATCCATGCAAAACCAGGTGCCCTTGCGACTCAAAGGTGGGATGTCTCTCGCTTCACGATATTTGGCTTGGGAAGTGAGCGATGTTTGTGATGGAAAAGATGTGGGCTTGTCCAAACAAATATGCCTTCAACAAAATAAAGAATTTGCAGAAACACTAGGGATTTTGCCAAGGAGACGTATTTCTGTTTCAAGGCTTGTCCCAAAAAATGGTATACCTCAATTTATGGTCATATAATATGAGTGAGTCATATGAAGGCGGAAAATGATGACTGACCCTTCGATTTTTTTGGTACCCTATTCTTGGACGAACCCGCGTATTGCAAACCTATATATAGCCGTTGTCGAGGGACCCATCTCTTGCTCCCAGTGGGACATTGTTTAATTTGATAAGCATCCCTCGAATCCCTCGAACATGGAAAACACGTTTCCCATAGGATCCATGTATGGTATTTATGCTAACATTGGGGGTAAATGTTACATAATGTTACCATATATAGCATACATGGATCCTATGGTTTTTGTTTCCTCTTAAGAGCCAGTTTTCGGGGTCGAGTCAAACTATGTCAAGCTGGAGGTGCGTTGAGCCACCGAGAAATCTATGCAGCTCGGCCGCAGAGAGTGGTGGGAATGCAAAGAGATTCCTTTATAACCATGGTTACAAACCCTCATGAGTTGGGATATAACTATGGTTATTTATCCACTTACACTATACATATATATATATAAGTGGAACTGCATTTCCAAGTAGCAAGATTCAGATGATTCCTGCAATGATTCCTGCAGTATATTGTACATTGCAGTACGGGAAATGCTCCAAAAAGAGCACCTCTGTTTTGTTATGTTTGGATTTTGGTTGGAGGCCCTGCTCATGATATTTTGTTGGCGGCTCCCTGCCATCCGGTTGCGAGCAGATGTAGCGGCAACCAACGGCACTATGTCAACTGGGTCCCCTACAGGGATCCGAAAGTCAAGAGCAGGGTGTGCTACCTGCTACGAATAGGAGTTGGTCCCCATAGTCCGTCCCTCCCTGCAACATGAGACAGTCAGAGTCATCTACCAAGCATCGATGGGCCATGGTTAGTTCGTTAACTAGTTTGCAAACGGATTGTAACTGGGATTAATAGTGTCAGAAATTCTAATCCCTTGGCCCATCCAAGTTGCCATTCATCAAAGGGGTGCACCAGACGCTTGCGCTTCATGGAACATGTTCCATGAGTTGAGAGGCCAAGTATTTGAAAACAAGGTCTGCCCGGCCCAAAACCCACAGGATTTCACCATGGACCATGGCAAAAACTGAAGGGGATAATGGTAAGCACAATGGAAATGTGGAAAAAAAACGGAGAGCGATGTCACATATTCGTGAAAATAATGGGCTCAATCAGTTCTGCAGAACCCATGAAACCCCAACAGAACTCCCATGGTTCCCCGCACAGGAAATGATGCTTTATGAGAAGCCCGGCTGATGCTGATTCTACGGGAAAATAGCATATTTCCGGAGGGTATGCCCATGATTTTCATCAGTAGACTATCATTCAGAAGCATCCTATATAAATTGGGAATCCGTATGCTGATTACATAAAAAAAAACATGCTTGGGAAGTATTCCGCTTTGCCCAGATGAATCCAGGTAAGTGATTGGAAACTGGCTCATAACTGAAGTGAAAAAAATATGTTTCGGTTTTGAGGGCAAACATGTGGATAAATATGGATGAATGGCCAGCGGCTGCAGTTCCAACCTTGTTTGTGGAGATTCGCTGGGGCATGAGGGTTCCAAACTGGTCCTTTCAACTGTCATGGATTTAGAAAGGCATTCGGCCTTGCTGCCTGGGGCCGTTTAAAAGATCAGTTGTGACAATGGCAATCGGTACATGAACCAAGCAACATGGGGACTCATTGAATCTTCAAAACTGATGTTAATCAACTGATTCCGTGTAGCCACTGATAACAGATTCTATGCTTTGCAATTCAGCCTGGAGTTGGCTGCGTTTTTCGTAGAAATGTTGCCATTCAACCTGAGGATGCAACCCAACCCCATCCTGCCAGGGATGAAGAAGTGTATGTATAGTGCTTTCCTGGGGTATACATGCTGATTGTTTTCACGGAATTATTGCGAAAATTGTTTGTATTTTCAGTTTGTAAGTTATTTTGTTTTGCCTTGATCTGGCCAACTTTGTCCTGCGTCGTTTGGTATTTGCATCGTGTCTAGCTGAGAAACACATCGTGCACCAATCATCCCCGAGTCTTACAAAGCTTCAGGCCGGTTACATGCAGTTGGCCTAATGTGTGGTCCCTTTCACTACCAGGTTGTTCCATTTGAAGCCAAATTTGTTCCCCTGTCCCCACCTAAACCCATTGGTTTTGCTGCTAAAGTTGCTTCAACCCTATATTGGGCAATTCAACACCAGTTTTTGTTGGTTAGATTTGTTAAAGTTCCTTTTTTATTCAAATTAATTCAAATTGTCAAATTGAAATGTGATTTGCGGGAAGCAAAAACCATCAAAAACCATAAGAAAATGCAGGAAACCGCCGTCTTTCACCTCAAATTTCCAGTTCCCCTTCGCTGCGTAATGGCCATCCCGCCGAGGAAATGGGCTTGCGCCACCATTTTCGAAGACGACGTAGGCTGGCCACCAACTTCAGTGGTCGGGTAGCTGCTACGGTAGAGCCTGGGATGTTGGGTTCACCACGGGCCAATGGTTTGAACGGGGGGTGTGTGATGGAAACCTGGTTGATGGTTTCAAACATGAGCTTTTATTTTCCATAATATATTGGGAATAATCCTTCCCATTGACGAACTCATATTTTCCAAGATGGTTAAAACCACCAACTAGAAACTGTTAGAAACCATGTGCAAGATGAGTGAGGCCCCCCCCCCGGTCTTTGCTGGGTATCTAGCTGAAATTCTCCATGTTGGAAATATGTACCTAGATGACTCGGTGGCTTTGGGGGTAAATGTGGACAAGTATTCCCTACATGAAGCATCTGAGTAAGATGGGCAATGAGGATGGGAGGGGGAGAGATTGCTATTTGACTTTGCTCTGTTGTCAACAAAGGTACGAGCCAGGATCCAACACAGTGATGCCAGCTAGTGATTTACAGCTAGCCACGTTAGGTTTTATTTGGAATTATCCATTATTTGTCAACCAGTATTTCATTATAGTGACGGACAGCTACTTAGAACATCATTTGGAAAACAAATCTGAAAATCGTCACAGCGGGGATGTTCTAAGTATGGGTTTCAAAAAAAGTAGTTAGAACATACCCAAAACCTATACTTAGAACATTTCCAAGCTATACTTAGAACATCCCAGTGGGGAACCAATGGGAACCATACATATATGTATGTTCGAAGTATTTGTCCGTCCCTAATTATATATATATACACTATATAATACTATATATAGATATATTTATTTAAGGGCTGCCGCCCCTGCCGCCTAATTTCTGCCGGGGTCGGCGGATATTTATAAACTAATAGGCTAGGGAGAAAGTGTTCTAAGTATGGTGTTCACCAAGGTATTTGTGTGTATATATGCAGATTTACCAAAGTAACAGGACATGTTCTAAGTATATGTGTGTTTTAATGTTCTAAGTATGCAAAAATCAATGGAGATGTTCTAAGTATCTGTTTTTCTGATGTTCTAAGTGCGTACTTAGAAACATTTCTGATGTTCTAAGTATGGTAATTTTGATGTTCTAAGAGGAGGTTTCGAAATTTTGGAAAAATTGATGTTCTAAGTACATGTCCGTCACTATATTGTACACGATGATTATTGTAATACAGTGTGGTGATGGAAAATAATCATGCTTTACAGGCAAAACATCTATCAATGGGCTGTTTTCAATGTTAAATTGCCAGAGGCTATGTCACCATATGTTCCCATATTTTCTAACATGTTGAAATATATGCCTATACGAAAACACATGATTTTCCCAGGGTGCCAACAAAAACCACCCACTAAGGACAGTTTGCCCCCCTTCGATGTGCTCCTTTGGGGCTTTTGCGGCTTGGATGAAATGGTGACACTAAAAATAGCATACTGTAGTTGATTGGTCATGATTTGGAAGCTAAGTACAAGTAGGATTTGATTATCAATTGTAGTAGTGATGTTATAAGGATTTTCACTAGCGTATTGGGATATCATTCATTCGTAAATGAAGATTTATTGATCATGAAATAAGAAGTTATACTACTTGGATTGTTGTGGGTTATGAGCTAACCGCAGGGAAAACTATGAACCAACTTTGTTTTATCAGGAGGGATAGGGGTACTCTTAATGGCTCAAATTCTCTTATGAGGACAGGTCGAAGGGGCATTTCTGTATGGTGTTTCAGGGCATAGGGGGTTTGTATCTTAGTTGGTAGGCTCCGGATACCCTCTGGTAAACTAACATAACTATGGAAAATCACCATTTTCAATGGGAAAATCGCCTATAAATGGCAATTTTCAATAGCTATGTTTGTTTACCAGAGGGTATTTTGCGTGACAGTGCCACCAGTTGATGGCAAGTATCTTCGACTTTGGTTGGAGGCATGAAGAGGCGGTGGACATTTGCTCCCAACGTTGCAGCTGTGAAGCTGTCGGCTTCAACAACTGTTTGTCACAGAATGCTGCTGGGCTATTGCAATCCCTGAAGGTGATAGTGCTGCTCCGGGCCCAAGCCCGCCTCCGGCGCCAGGCACCCCAGCGACGTCCATGGAGTCGACGTTGGGTGAGTCGATCTAGAAGGCACTGTGGCGCGCCGGTTTGAGACCTCCAATGATGCCTCCCATGCCGGTGGCCGCTCCTGCTGTTGCTGTGAACCGCCCTGTGCCGACAGGCCACAGAAACGTGGGCCTTCGGTGCCTGAATGCAGGAGGTCAGGCAGCGTGTGAATATATGTAAATATATGTAAATATATGTAAATATATGTAAATATATGTAAATATATGTAAATATATGTAAATATATGCAAATATATGTAATGTTATGTTAGGCATGGCATGCATGTATGTGTATATGTATGCACATATGCATACATTGCATGTATTGCATGTTTGCATGTCTTTATGCTATGCAGTTTTGTGTTGTGTTCTGTTCTGTTCTCTTGTATTATATATGATGTTTTGTTATGTTATGTTGTGCCATGTTATGTCATGTTATGTTATATTATGTATGGGGCTGCTATACTTTTGTTGGTGGCCATTATCAGCCATGTAATGTAATTCCAATCATGTAGTGACATCCTGACAGCAATTGTTTTTTAGGATTCACCCTTATAAAAGTGCTTGATAGTGATGAACAACTTATAACATCCAAATAACCCAATAATCAACCACCAGGTTGTTGTATGTTTGTTGAATCGTGACAGAGTCAAATTTCATTTAACATTCGACATTCAGTATCATTTACGGTCACATGTCACAACTCTTTGACAAGCCCTGCCGGTTGCGCACCACATTTCAGGCCCCAGCGGAAGTAAACCACGCCATGAGTCCGCGGACACAACGTCCGTACCCAAAGTGACACTTGGTGCCGCGACGGGGAGATGGTGTGCAGGGAATTTTCTGCAACAGTTCCCTGAACACATTAAACCAGTCCTATTATTGGAGGGAAACCATTTTATTTGATTTGGAGCAACATTTTGAAACAAAAGCTACAGCACTATGGGAAATCTTAAAATGAACAGGAACCATTGATTGTGCTCCTAGGCTTGGGTTTGATCATGGCAGACACATTGGGGGGCAGCAAGCACAATTGGTATTGTTAAGTGCTAGATTGGTTGGAACCTATGGCATATTTGGCGTTAAGTGCCTTCATTTGGATGCTTTCCGTGGTGGCGCAATGCCACGGCGCACAGTCGAAACATCGGGGGTTGGTACAAAGCGTGCAGGCCATTGATTTGAAACAAGGTCCAAAGGGTTTGGGATTCCACAGGGAGATGCAGCAATAAACAGTTTTCAGTTTTACAGTAATATATATACTGTAAAAAACACCGATGCTAAAACTGTAATAAGCTATGTGGGATTTGTTTATAGTGTTAGCCTCGGTGTTTTGTTGAAACCAACCTCCTTTTTCGGGAGGGTGGTTTCATGGAAAAAGTCACAGTGAAATGCATCCTTCGTTTCCATGCCTTTTTACTCGGTATGGTTTTCAGGTCCGCTAAGCTTGACAACTGTGAGGAGGCAACCAATAATTATATAATTACTCATAAATTCTTGTGGAATATATTATGATATTTTCAGTTAGTTAAAACAATTGCCTTTACCAAGCATAGCGGGACAAGAAATGTCCGCATCAGTGGGGTCTATGTGGGTTCCTGAAAAATCGGTAAACTTCAAAATTTTGCCAAGTTCCCCCTTTTGAGAGGTAAACTTGTGATTCCCCAGTAAAGCCAGGGCCATTTTCCAGTCAAGCCCATATGGTTACACCCCCATTCCCCATGAGCTGCCTTTTTACACCTATGAAATCTCCATTGGTGGTTATATCACCATTTAATCAACCAATCCTCAGCTGATCCCAATAACCAACCATCAGTTGCCGAGCTATTATCAACCATATCACCATGGGCCCATGGGTTAAATCAAATCACAATTCCATGAGCTTTAGGATGTAATCTTAAGAGATTTGATACCTTCAATGTATCCCAATTTTCGTTGGTCACATCTCAGCCCCAAATCCCCGTTGAATCCTGACCGCCAGCCAGAAACCATGGCAACCAGTAGGGGATGAACTCACATATTGGGACCATGCAACGGGGGTGTAAATATTGGGAGGATGGGATCAATCTCTGAATGTTTAGCTCGGACACCTTTCCATGTACCCTGGGCACGGCAGCGTCTGCTGCGTCTGCAGTGCCGCAGAAGACAGGTCTGCCGGTCTAAGCCACTGGTCTGGCCAAATCGCTGGAGCGCCGGATTGGCCTCGGGCGAGTGAAAATGCACAGGCTTTCATGTACAGTTGCCAGAATGTCTGGCGCTAGCCTTAAGCAAATGCCAAAGGAATGGTCACTCCAAGTGCTGATCTGTTGAGATTCTTGCACATTGGAGTGCCTTCGCACCAGTGCCGGCAAAGATCCCGAAACACCTTTTAAATGACTCCCTACAAATGAGTCCTTTCGAACAGAGAGCTGCGATCCATCAGGGTCCAGTTCCCATTCGCGGGATTTCGAAAAGGGAACTGCATCGGAGCAATCTTCAAAACACCAAAAGTGATCCCAAGAAAACTAACCGGAACAGCAACTTGATCGTTGATGTCATGAGCTCGAAGCCAATTCTAACAAAGATTGCGGAAACTCAACTGGGTATCCTAAGTTTTGTACAAAGTGTGCAGGATCCATGTCAGTTGAAAGAGTATCAAGAAAACTGTACAAACGGCTCACACTTTCCTCATCACTGGATTCGATCAGAATGCTCGCAGAAGTTCGTCTGGAAGCTTTGAAATTTGTCTCGCTGAAACATGGCAAAGTAGAGCTGTGTGAAGCGGCATGGCCGATCATCACTGCGACAAACCGCCAGTGAATCAGCGATGCCATTGTGTGTGGCAATCCATTCCTCAAACGGAGGTTCACATTTCGCCATGCCAGTATAGTGCATCAACGATGAACCAAAGGTCAGTGTTGTGTTCGTCTAGCGAAGTGCAGTGCCCATCCAGTCGTTGTTGTAAACCTTTTTGGATCTCCAGTGCATCCAGCCAAATGCGCACTTTGACCCCCCAAAGCAAAGACCATCTGATGGCGGCAATGACTGCGGTAAGCTCAGTCTATATAAGCAATATAGTTTGAGGCAGACCCACCAAATGCCCTGAGCCAATCGGTCTATGGCTGGTAGCATTGTGCAGTCCCCATGCCTCTCGTTTTGTCTCAAAACGTCCGTCAGCTGTATGGCTTCCATCTGTAAAAAGATGCTGGGTTCCGGTTCCAGTGCCAGAAGGGGCAGAAACGAAGTCATCAGTGTTGCCTGGCAGACCGAGGAAATAGGCTCGAAGATCATCAATCCACGGCGATCTTTGGCAAAGAAGATGCAAAGCAAGATGCCGCGGCAGTTGATCAAGCTCTTCGGTGAGAAAAACCTGATCCCTTAAGTCCCTATATTTCGGGCAAACCAATTCATGTTCTTGGGCTTGGGGGCATTGGCATTGGTTACAAGGTTTGGTCTTTGTGATGTCAAACTTGCCTTGAGTCCATGCATCCATGAAGGCTCCTGAGTGCAAAGCAGACTGCAGTGAACGCTCGCTCCAACAGGGTCAATGTATAGAGTTGCCCCATTTCACAACATAGCCATCAATGTCGCGCAGACAGCTCATGGAAGCGCGTGTCAATGTGCTGCCAACATAGCAAAGCCACGCATCCTCCAGCAAGTGTCGCAAGAGCATCCATGGTGTCAAAAGCAAGCCATGAGAATGTCCAAGTCGATCTATCACCATGGGAGGGATCCCAATGCTCCAGCCAACACCCCCAAAAGCACACAAAAGGACCATGTGTGATGCAACCATCAAAGGATGATTGCCACAGGCGCCAGCAATCCAAAACTCGAGGAGAACGCCCACATACCCGTCGAAAAGTCTGAAAAACTGAAACCAAATGGAAGAATCCAGGGTCTGCGTCCATCTTGTCACACTCAAAGAAAAGCGTAGCAAGGCATTTCTTGCTGCATGTTTGCAGCGAAGTGCCTTGTTAGCTGCTTGTCGTAGCTGATGCAAGTAGTTGCCTGCCAGGGGGCATGGGGCTGCTCCATAAAGGGCCGAAGACCAAAAAGCCATCATGAGCCGGTCCCACTTGTCAAGGAGCTTGTCCCCTCTCTGTCGCAAAGCATCATATATTAGAGTTGCCGCCCAACTCTAATGCGTCACACTGCAAAGTTAACCCCAAGATTCGCAGGATTGCCCTGGATGAAGGAGAGGTGCTCCAAAAATACGTTTTCCCAAAGTCCAACAGCAATCCCCAAAGTTGAAAGAAGCAGATGGTGGAGAAAAATTCAGAAACCACACATGTCCAGCTTCAGAAACGTTGTCAACATAGGTAAAAGCATGAACTGAAGGTGCCAAGGCAGTCCTTGCGTACCGCGCTCCGGCATACTCAAGGCAGTCTGGATCTGAAAGGATCTGACAAATTCATCAAGGAACGCCCTCCAAGGTTTCAAAAGTGAGTCGCTGATGCCGATGTGTTCAGCAAGCGCCATCAAGCAATCGCGTCCCATGTTGTTGAAAATTTTCTCAATGTCAGTGCTAAATCTAGAAAATTCATGAAAATTCAATGCCTTGTTGAAGACATACTTCTATGACGCCCTGCAGCTGTAACCAAACTTGTGCACATTCACGGCCAGGCAAAAAAAAACATGTGCGCATGATGGAACAATCTGCCCAGAAATGCTCAAAAGTGGAAGGGCATCATGTGCGATACACTGTTCCCAAGATGGCCACCGGTCTGAAGTGGCTGGGCAAATGAGATTGGTCCTGTTTGGCCAAGCTAAGCACTGTGCTGTAAAGCAACTGAGTTGGCCATGGTGTCTCAGCTCCATTGATCTGCGCAAGGAAATCCAAAAGGTTGGAGGTGATGTTGTCTGGCAGGTGTTTCGAGTCAGCCACATCAATGCCATCAACTCCTTTGGCAGGTCTTTGCAGTGAAAAATCGGGTTCTGGGAATTGCAATCGTGGCATGTATGCTTGAATGAATCCCATGATTCGATTCCACTGTTCAGTTCCCACCAGGCTGGCCTTCTGCCATCTCCGCTTCCAAAGATCGATCAGCGCTTGATGCACTTGTGCAACTTCAGAAAAATAGTGGTGGCACTGCAGCAAGTCACCTGGTTCAACATGATGAGGAAGGTCGTGAAGTCCAAGCACGTCACCATCGCAGTCTCAACTTCAACCTGCGTGTTGTTGATGAACCAAGCGCATCCAGTGAGATCATTCACTGGTTGATCAACATGGATCTGGTGCGTGGCCAGGTCGACCGCCAAGATCGTGTAGCCTTTGGTGTGCCAAAGAATATCCAGTTGGTCGCGCTTGGGTGGACGCAGTTCATGAAACAGCCTGTGAAAGCTGTGGTCACACTTCAATTGCAGTAGCTTCCGACGTTGTCGACAGTGCCTCTGCTCAAAGGCCTCAAAGTTCTTCTTAAAGTCCAAGAAGATTTGCTCAGCAGTGAATCCATCAGGAGGTGCAAGTCGAAAAGTTACAGGGGCTGAAGGCGAACGTATTCTTCTCCGAAGCCACCATACGTGGAAAAATCCATCAAATCCACGTCCTTTCTTGATGGCGGACCACAAGATGAGTCTGCAGACCTCAGCATCCAGCGTCTGCTTGTTGGCGACAGCAGCATGCTTGTAGCTCTGGGGCCTCCGCCCCTGCCTGAACCGCTGCTGGACTTGGGTGGAAACAAGATCCGATCGAAGCTGTCACTTCTCCTTGTCGGGAGGGCTTTGACACCGGCGATGTCAACGAAGCCTTCATTGATTGAGTGCATTTGGCACGTCCTCTAAAAGTGTGTGGTAGATGACCATCAGGTTGATCTTGCACACATCCATCCAGTGCAGCTTCCCAGTGTTGCGCCCATTCTGCAAAGAACTGAGTAGAGGAGCTGGTGATCAGGTGCTGGTAATCTGCCCAAGTTGTGGTGCCAGGTCTCCTGGTTGATCTTGTCCCATGGAATGGAGGTAGGCCTAAGCCAAGTCAAGGTGCTGGTGATCTTCTCTGGAACCGCAAAGTCAGCAAACAGGGTCACATGGTCAGGGAACATGCTGATGTGCCCAACATATCGGCACATTCTGGCCGCTTCAGGTGACATCCACATCATGTCAACGACTGCGGAGCATTTGCATGTAGGGACAACGGGTTGTTGCCAGCAATGGTTAGCATGTTGTTGTACTTCAATCCAACCGTAGCTTTCCCACAGTTTGAATTCATCCAGTTGCTGCCTAGTGCTATTGAAGTCACCAGCTATGATACGTGGTCCAGTACCACTCACCACCAATCTTGATAAAGTAGCCAAAACTTGATTGGTCAGTCGCTTGCTATCAGGCCAAGTTGGACCAGCAGGAAAACCATAGTAAACGAGGAATTATTATCGCCGTGGTAAACATATGGTAGGTTTTTGTTTTCTCACTTCTTATCCCCATTATAACATTGATTAATAGAAATATGAACTATATTTATCTCAGTATAATGGATATCCCATATATATCCCCATTATAACGTTGCTTAATATCTAATTTTTAAACATGGATATAGCATGATATAGCCATTAGATCTCCAGTGGAATCGCGAAGAAAGGATGTATGGCTGGCCCGGCAGCTGTGTGCACGCCTACACCGTCAGAACCTGGGCGTCCAAGATCGGGGCTGTGGCTGTTTGATTTTTGATTCGATGCTTGCATGATCCCACTTAGTAACTCTACAAACCAATGAGTTCCCGTAAAATGATCTATGAATAGTGGGTTCTCCATATCTATGTTAGTCCACAGGGTGGTAGCTGTTAGTAAGCATTGTTATGAATTATAAATTATAAATGTATATAA